ATGGGAGATTATAATATCACCTAATAAAAACAAATTTTAAATTTACATGAGTGCACGAGATTGCCAATGACATAAAAATGATTATTATATACAGCAGAAACATTTTATTTAGTCCATAACCTCTCAGTTCAGCAACACTTTATTTAGTCCATAACCTCTCAGTTCAGCAACACTGCTCTTTTATTTGTATTATGACTTGACACTTGGCCAGTTTATTTATTACTTTATTCATTGAAATATCGATTAAAGAATAAAATTAGCAAAATTTAATTAAAAAACTTACCTCCATCAACACCTGAAAGGTGACAAGTAATTTTTTGAATATATAAAAACTTCTATGAAACTTTTGTGTGTATATTTTTTTTAAATTGCTCAATTTTATTGCCTTACCTTATAAAACAAAAATACTACACTTTACTGTTATTGTCTTTGTTGTTTATTTACACGAATAAATAGGTAGCAAAGATGAGTATCAGTGATCCCTGGATCCAGAGTGACGGACAATCTCAATAAAGACTTTAGCCTAGTTACACTTAGCCTAAGTAACAGCATCATATTTTGATTTACAAATCGATCAAGTAGTGCAGGTATGTGTATAAATAAACACGGTTACTATATTTAACCCTTTTTTTTAATGACTTAAGTGGTACACTCTGAACTGTGCAAAATATAACACCTAAATTATTCCATTTGAACAGCGCAATTTGTAGTGTTAATTACATATTCGAGATCATCGCGTCGATGATCTTTTCAATGGCAAAACCATATTGATAAATGAACCCCTTTCAGACAAGTTGGTTAATAGATGTAGTATTATACCTTGCCTGTCAAAGTGATTTTAAAACGCCTACAATAGAAAAGATAAAGGACAATATTACTTGTGAATAACTAAGCGTTGTTGTTATATTTGGGTGAGTTTTGTGCAAACGATGAAACACCAACATTGTCCGATAATTTTTTTTTTCGCAATCCAAATGTGTGTTTAAAATATTGCCATAGCACGTCAAGTTTTGAGAAAATAAATTTAAAAATCGACAAAAACCCTTAAAAACCCGCTATTTCAAAAATGAAAATTGTTCTCATCAAATTAAACCGCTATAAAAAAAAAAAAACATGAGATAATAAACACCCCATAAAACTTATAGCATGGATCCTTGACGGCTTACAACCCTGAAGTTACTAAAAAAATAAATATAAAATAAAATACATTGACAAAAGTAAATATTTTTTGGTTTTTTAAGTTGAGCCTTCTGTCTATTAGCGTTATCCAGGAGACAACACATGGAGTTTGACTGATTAGTCTCCCAAAACATGTGTGTGCTTGTGTACACTGTTTATAAATGGTCAAAAAAATGTTTTTCAATTTTAATAATTTTTAAAAATAATTAAAATAGTGTCAAAATTTAATAGTTGCTGGTAAAAATTAAAATTAAACCGATTTCACATAGTCAAATCTGCTAATTTTTTTTGTTGATGTTTGATAATCTGCTCCCGTAAAAAATGGTTCTTTTTCCAATGTTTTTTTTACATGGTTTTGTTGCATTGCTTCGTATTTTTATGTAGGTATCTGACTGTATGCCCAGAAGAGTGCCAACAAGAATAAAAATATTCGGATGTCCTGGGTGAAACAATGCATTTAATTTTGCATGAAAACTTTCACAACTGTTAGTTGTCCGATTAGTGTTTGCTGACAAATCACACCAAATTTTTAAGGGGAAACTGTCCAACTTCATTGTCAATGTAATCATCTAAAATTTAATCTGTGAAACTGTCAATTCAAATCACATCACATGGTTCACCATCAAATCTCCCGTGAAACATTCAACTATGTCATTTTCGTTTGAAAATGGCAATCCAAAAAAGTACTTGAGTTATCTACTTTTCTCCGAATTAGACTTATATTCCTTAGACAGACCCAACTTCTGAATTTTTCGACACCAGCTTTACTTTACCAACACCATTTTTCAGGACTCAATTCAATATAGTCCGTCCAAATTCCCTACTATAATAGCAAAGGAGACTACGCTTACGATCTTATCTACGTAATAAAATCAAACATATTAAGATAATAAACTGGACTCAATTCAAATAACTGAAAGTAGGATGGATTCAATTCGATGTTATCCGTTTAGACGATCGTTTGCTCTCAAAAAAAAAATTGTTTTTCAAAAATAAAAATTTAGTTTTTTTTAAGGTAAATAACGGCTATCACAGTGTGTCCGTTTTACAAATAATTGTCAATAATATACGGTCATTTTGCGTTCCCATAGGCGGTGGCACGTGGCGGGACGCCCGGCTGGGACAACGCGACGGGGCAGGCGGTCGGCGCGCGCGGAAAGCTCGCCAGCCCGTCGCGGCGGCAATATACTATTATCAAAAGATTTCATCGATTATTTAAAAAAAAAATGATCTGCCGCCGTTACATACAGTTAAAGGATTATTTTTAATCAAATTAAATAATTTGTGCAAAAATCGTTGAGGGCTCGGTCGATTTTTTTTTTTTTTAGATACCAATCGAGTAATGATAATTGTATAGAAATTATAATTTAAAAAAAAATACCCTTTAAAGCGCTCTGTTTTTTTTTTTTTTGGTAGGTGGGCGCACTTTTGTTTAACACAACCGTCGAACCGTTTGATTTATTATCGTTGGACTGTTTGAATTTTGAATTTCAATACTTTTGGAAATTCAGCATAAAAAAATTTCCACGTGCTAAAAAAAAAAATATATATATATATTTCAATTAATCGCTTCTGTCTAAAAGCGGGTTTGATATATATTTTTAATGATTGATATACAAAAAAAAAAAAAAAATACTGATAAAATGTTCCAAAGCTTATTGAAAAAACAATAATTGTATCAAAATGATATACAGGGTGATCGATTTAACGACAGACAAACGTTTTCTTGAAAACGACTTAAGCTGTTGGTGCTCTTGAGCCGGATAACTGCTGAAACTCAATTATTTAAAAATAATCTTCTACCTTTTGGAATACTAACAATATTCCTTACCCAAATTGTTGACTGGCCGATTATCAGTTTTACAAAGTACCTAATTATTGTCCAGCGCAATATATACATGTAGTTAGTTAGATGTGTTGCATTTTCTGTCATTTTCAACGAAACAAAAACGTTGGAAAAATCATTAAGTATTGCTTAATCATTGAGTAATTATTTTATTAAAAATGAATATATTTTTAGGATACCTGTTGATTTTAATTTGAATAATGTGCACAGTTTTACATTTTTATTTTGGTGTTTTTTCTTGGTTTTTTGAATGGGAAGGGGTAAAATTTTTAAAATGTTCACTTAATGTAATACCTTTCAGGTAGGATTTTTGAACCGTAGACTCGCAGACTTTCTAATTGCATTGGTCGGTAGACAAACGATGACTAGCCTGGATATTCCCTCGGGAACTGCTATATCGGTTTAATGAGGGTTCAAGAGACACTGGGCAAAGTTCCAACAAGGGATAAAATATTGAAAATTGCCATTCCACGGCCGTCGACATTAACCGGAAAGGCCGGGATTTTGACCCAAAGCCAAACATTTATTCTTCTCAAAGCAGAAAACGAACGTTTACAAGTTACAAAAATGGAAATTGATAAATAACATTGAATAATAAAATAATCGACTCTGCAAAAACCTTATGGTTTTTTTGTGTTAAACATTTTTATAAGCAGATGTGTTAATACATAAACAGTACGACCCTCTAAGCTTCCCCTCCTTAATTGCACCTATGTTTATATCTAATAATTAATACATTAATACAATATATAATATCTACCTACACATTAACTATGATATTAATTAATCTTATTATCTATCATGTTATGTAAACTGAAATCTTCAATAATAAATAGTCATATTCGACCGTCGAGCTAACATTTTACCTCCTATTAATTGCTATGCAGTAATAATTAGGCAATTTTTTTTTTTGTACAATAATACTCATAAATTATAATGTACGGTAGGCCCCGTGCAAGAACTTCTCAATAATAACAAGTATATACAGTTATACATGGTTTATTTAACACATTTTTACATTGGTATTTTTAGAATATTTTTACATTTTTATAAGCTGTACATTGAATAAATAAAAAACACAATCTTAACGAAATTCTTGTGGCCGTTTTTTTTCTTCAAATATGTCATCGTTGAAACGTCCGCCGCCGCTGGGGCGGATTTCCACGAGTCTGCCGCATAGATCCGGCTGAACGAGCGGTGGCACGGGCCGGGTTGACTGCGAGGTCATCGGTGATGTCTGGCAGCATACACCCGCAACTCCGGGAACTTCCGCCGTGGCGTCCGCCGAAACCACACGTAGTCTACGACCGTATGGCTGAAAAAAAAATCGTTTATCATCAGTTACGCACTCTATTGTCGAGACCATTGATAACCAGTTTTTTCTCATCAACCACGAGGACGCGGACGACGTTTGGTTCCAGCATGACGGCGCCACGACGGACGTTCCGCACGAACGGCTCGAGGGCACGTGTTTATCTCTCGCAGAGGTCACGTTAATCGGCCCAGCCAGACGTTTTCCGGAGATGCGCAGGTCTATGTCACCGCAATCGCCGGATGCCCTCAAAGTCGACACGACCCAAGCCATCGTGCTCAAGCTCAGCCGGATCCGTGCGGGGGCAGAGTCGTTGAAAATCCACCTGTCGCATCCCCGTGCCACCGTGCGAAGCCGCGGCCGACGTTTGAACCATGTCATATTTCATAAGCAACTGGCCTTTCAAACAGATCAAGAATTTCGTTAAAATCGTCACAAACATATTAATACTATGGATAACTTAAAGCTTGACATCGTCGACGCCCAAAAGCAGTGTGCTCGTCCGAGTGCGAGCAACCGAGTGCGAACAACCGGTTGTCAATTGGTTGGTCTATGATTACATAACTCAACGCTCACTGAAATCATCAAGGGGTAGTAGTTAGATTAATTGCGAGGCGTGTGTTATAGTCCCTAAAAAAAAAAAAACTGCTATTATTTGTATTTTCACTTACCGCCTTTATTGGCCATCTGCACGTTCCTAGGGCGGCGGCGGGGACCATTTTCGAGCTGGTACAATGCCGTTTGGGTGCAATTTAAGCGATGCGTTTTTTTCCCTAATTTGAACTTTAAATCGTTTAGCTCGTCTGTCTTTATCTCCATCTCGCCCAAGTGTGCCGATTCTCTTTTTTTCATTTCTTTCTGCAGTACTTGGTATTTGTTTACTATGTCGTTGTACTTTGACTCAAGATTCTCTTTTTCTTCTTGCAGTTTTTCCAATTTGTTTAATATTTCGTCGTAGTTGGATTGTAGCTTTTCATTTGCTCCCTGCAGCTTTTGCCATATCGATTCTAACATTTTTTTTTCTCCCTGCAGCTTTTGAAATATCGATTCTAGCAATTCTTTTTCGCCCCGCAGCTTTTGAATTTGGTTTAGTATGTCTGCGTTATTTGATTCTAGCTTATCATTTTCTCCCTGCAGCTTTTGACACATCGATTCTAGCTTTTCTTTTTCCGCTTGTAGCTTTTGACACAACGATTCTAGCTTTTCTTTTTCCGCCAGTAGCATTTGAATTTGGTTTACTACGTCGTCATAACTTGATTCTAGATTTTCTTTTTTTGCCTGCAGGTTTTGACGTATCGATTCGAGCTTTTCGTTTTCATGCTGCAGCATTCGCATTTTGTTTACTACATCATTGTAACTTGACTGTAGCTTATCTTTTTCTTCATGCAGCTTTCTCATTGCGTCATTGCTATTTGAAAGCACTCGCGCCCATTCGTTGTTTAAGTTGTCGATTTCTCTTGCGTGCTCACGACGCAATCTCTCATACTCCGCGGCGTACTTTGCGGCGCATTTCCTCTGTTTATAGTTATAATTATTATTATTATTTAAGGAAGCACCGAGGCATTAGGGTAGGTTTACTGGACTGTCGATACTTACATTGTAATAGAGAAAACCAGCGCCGGTCACGACGCCGCCCGCTAATGCCGCCGCAATGTATTCATACATCCTTTAAAGACTTCGGTAAACTTGGAATGACTTGGAATGACTTGGAATGACTTGAAATGACTTGGATTGACTCGTAACAACAAAAAATACTTTCGCGTTGCGTGTCTGTTCGACGTCTGGTGAAACATTAGTTGTTTACTCGAGGTCGCTAACAAGTAATATTAATACTGAAATCGGCCAGCACAAAAGCCTAATAACTAAAAGCCTAACAACAGCTGTTATTACCTACACAGGTGCATATTGCTGTCGACCGAGTAATTAGTGCTGAACCGATGGATTTACGATTGGAAAAATAGACACATACCGTAGACACAAGCTGTAGCACATATTATATCAAACCCTTCGACTAGCATATACATGCATTTGTCGTCCCCTGAGATCTTTCCTTTGTCCGTGGCTCGACACCGTCGAGTGGGGCCAGTAAGACAACATTTTGTAGGCAACATTAAGCAACATCAGGCCGAGGCCCTGAGACCGGCGGAAGACGCGAAACTAGCAGGGTACGTCGTGGTTAAGCGCAGTAGTTTTAGTGGCAAATCGCGGCGCTAACAACCGCTGTTTCTTCGCGCGCCTGGCATCGTCGGACAGACCGTGATCTCGTGGATCTAACGAGGGATCGAGCGGCCTTCGATGCGCCCTAGCGGCTGAGAAATCCGGGAAAACTCCCATTTTCATTTGAAAATTAGTAATTTTCAGGCTTTGTTATTTTGCATAGCAACGGCCGCCGGCGGCCGGGTAAGTTTTTTGGTTTTGGCGGGTTTTCGGTCAAGGAGTGGATTTTTATGCCATTTTGACGTCGGCGACCTGTCTGAATCGCGCCAGAACCTTAATGTAAAGGGCTGGTGACCCTAAGACAAAGGGTAATGGCGAAAAATCGCGTTTATTGTTAGTGGGGCCGTAACATATGGGGTACAATCGACCATTACCGTACATGTTTTCTCAAAAAAAAAAAATGAAAAACCCTATCACCACTAAGTCTTACAACATAAAACCGTCGTAGTCTTTGCCCTTAAGTACTTGAAGGTTTTTTGGATTTTGAGCGACGATAGGTACGGGTTTTTTGTGACGTTTTTTTTTTAGGGCAAAGTCGTTTCGACGGCCAACTCATTTTTTTTTTTTTGACATCACCGAGAAACGCTGTCACGTCTTGTCACGGCTTTATATAATAGTACACAGTGCTTTGGTGTCGTTAAACGCCCTTTTACCGGTACGGGGTGCCGGTCGACGGGGAGTTTTTTTTGTTTTGTCGAGCTCACGAGTACTTAAAACCTAAGTCCATATCTGTTATCTTTGCCGGTGTGTTAGGCTGATCGGATCACTGTAGTTATTCTTATAAAGAGAAAGAAAAAATTGTGTAATATAAATCCGCTGACGATAATAGATTTTTTTTTTGTCTAGAAGCCGATAGGTCAAGTTAAATTGATTTTTTTTGAGGCTTCAAATGTTTCTAACCGTTGAAATATAAATTAAAAAATTAAAAAAATACAAAATAGGTAGTTTTGTCTGAGTCGATTCGAACCCGAAACCTCTTGATTATTAGTTCAAAGTGTTAACCGTTACGCCACTAAGACATACTTACTTTAATGGGTAATTGTTTGGGTATTTAACGTGGAACCGTTTAACTTCACTCAAAAAAAGTTGACATAAACAAATTTTAAAAAAATATTGAAGTCATTAATCGAGAGGAGTTTGCATACTTACACACGGACAGAAGAAATATATATATATATATATATATATACTTAATGACGTCAGCACTGTGAACGACCCCTGCCATAAGACATGTCCATGTAAAAAAAAAAAAAAATGCAGTCAGAACGATTGAACGTGGTAACTAATAAAACGAACCCCAATCAGAGGGTGGACAAGTAATATAACAAAAATAATTTGACAAAATTGAACTTTTTCTTATTTATTTTCAAGTAAATGCATAAATGTCGCGGGTACGCCGTCTTTAGGTCAGAGAATTCGGTCAAGGTGGCTTTAAACTAGAATATTATGAGATAGGACAAACTAACAAAATATAATATATTTAAAACACTGACAAGATAAGAGTGCACTCTATATTCGAGAGATTAAACAAACAATATAATGTATTCCGAATGCACGACTCGGTCATGATCTGCCCTTATCTAACTTTTGTAGACTTTTATTTTATGGTCTCGCCCCATTCCGGTTTAATATTTTCCGGATCGTTTCTTTTTTTTACGATGCTATCAATATACCTGTTTATCCCTCCTTCTCTCTCTCTCTCTCTCTCCAGCTCATTTGCTTCCACGTACAAAATGACAATATTTTAGGTATAATATTTTTAAAAAAAACTGAACTGAAAAATGTCCGTTATATGGGTTGGAATGCAGTATTGTCCAGTATTGATTCGTTGTCTAATTTGCTTTGGTCGTTCATACCAAACGATACCTATTCAAATAGATATATGAATTATGACTATATAATATGAAAACATTTTCGAATATTGATTTAGCAGGCACGTCGTCGACCCTAATTACTGTTGTAAAAAATTCCTAACCCGTGCTGCCCGACAAATCCCATTAGAGAACCCCAAAAGGATTTATTATCCGGTACACGGCTGGATGTAGACACTTTAGCTGCTTTTACTATTCCGAACACGACTCGAATAAATAGGATTTTTGTCTTTGGAAAAAGGCAAATTTGGATTTTCTTCAAATTGCGAATATAAATGTTATTTATTTTTATGTTTTACATCATTTATTATACTTCTCGTACAGATGATTGAATCACACATTTGTTTTGTATAATTGCACTATTTTAGAATTCAACCTGTAAAGTTGTAGGACTATTAATACACGTTAATGATTAATTACACTTATGACATATTACTGACATATTATGACTATTACATAGTAAAAAAAAATGTTGTTTTACTCGTTTACTAGTTTTTTAAATTCAAATGTTACAATTTTTATTTAAACCGCCAAAAGCCGCGAACAAAAAATAACCTATTTTGGTTGTGCTGGAATACACTTATTTGCTTATTTGCTCGGTTGGGTTTTAGTGAGTTCTGTGTATACAATCTGTCCAATTTCTCCAGCGCATGTGCGAGTGTGTGTTCCACTTCACTGAAAGTTTTCCCCTGCGCAGTTGTCGCTAAATCGTCGGCATTCAGGAAACGACGAGTAGTTCCCATAATGGTCTGGTCATTTGTATAGACATTAAAAAGTATTGGTTATGAAATGTATTAAAAAAAACATTTTTGGGTTTTTAAAAAGCTCGGAATTTTAACAGCTGATTAAAAGCTATCCGAATAGAATAAATAATAATAATGGCTTTTTAAATCATTGTTAGGTATTATTGGTTGTTATTTATTATTATATAACAGAATTCAGTTTTACGTTATTCTTATAACAGTATTCAGTTTTTCGTTATTCTTATAACAGTATTCAGTTTTTCGTTATTCGTCATCACGTCTCAGCAACATACTCGATTTTGTGAAACATGATGTCACTTAAATTGTATGCGGCCGGCGGATTTGTGGCGGGGTTCGGTTGTGCCTACCTGGTTGACTATTGCTGCTCTCGGTGGTTACAATCCGTACGTATGAATTTCAAAAATATTTCATTGTCATACTTAGGGAAACGGTCGCACACACAACTCCGCTTGTCCAGGGCCAGCTGACAATCTTTACGTGTTAAGGTAAGCGTCCATATGTCCGCATCGGACGGGTCGTATCAATCGGATGTGCAATTTTTCCAGTATTGGCTATAGCACACTAAAATCCGTCCGATGCGGACTTGTGGACGCGCACCTTTAAGGCCGGGTGCAAGAAAACGATTATCTATTGAGTTTTTGGGCATACGTAAACCGCGCCTCGTTTATAATTTGGTTTAAAAAACGTATGTGTAAACTGCGCCCGAGTTTTTATCAAGTGGAAAAAGGTTAGTACCTACATGTAAGCTGCGTCCAGCTTCTCGTCATCGGTATGAAATGCAAACAGCGTCCGAATCAATACAATCACGGGAATATTAACATTTTAGGGTTTCTACCACTTTTACCAAATTGCATAAATTGCCATGACGAGGTTTCTTGTCAGCATGTGGAATTAGCATTGATAATGAGGACGGCAGATATCCGAGTGTTTTAGCACTCGCTCGCTATTTGGCCTCGGATAAACATACATGGATGTCGCTTTCATTTAACACAATCGTACATTATTATTATAATGTATATATATATATAAGTTTAATACAATATAATACAGGGTGGGCCACGGAAATAGGGACAAAAATAGATGGGTTTTTCTCAACATTGAATGGGAGTAGGCAGGTCTAGATAAGCTCATTCGATCCGTCAGATGTCATTTAGTTATCACTATAGCGCAGTGGAGTGTCGTTCACCGTGTGTTTGCGTACGACGCGTTTGTGAAAAACAATGAATCGATAGTTAAGGTGCAGCGTGCCCCCGCTGCCAACGAATAGGGTCAAAAATAGATAGACATAACTCAGTATATTTTAGATGTACAAACATTTTATTAATATTTTATGATATGTAAATGAGTGCCATTTCATTTTTTAAAAATTACATCAGACATATGACGGCCATCTTCTTTATAGCATGAAACAAGCCCGACGTTGAAATAAAGCCCGAATGCACGCCTTTTCACGCCTGTAAAAAACTAGATATTAGGCATTTAACAGGAGTCCCTTCTCACCCGACAACACACGAATCTCCCGCTCAACTCATGTTGGGTCATTCGACACAAACACTATTTGATTTATTAATACCAAACACCAACGAAGTAGTTATTAATAATCAAGTAACACAAATAAAAAACGGGGGTAAAAGAGACTTAAATTTAGATAAGGAGGATGGTGTGTTAGTTAAAGATTACAGAAAAACAGGTGAAAATTGGCAGAAGGGTACAATTACTGATAATATTAGTCATAATACTCATAAAGTAGTTTTAAATGATGGTTCTGACTAAGGCACAATGATAAGATATGACCACACGGTCAAAAAGAAAATGAGTTGTCTCCTGCTTTTAATTATTCAGACACGCCTAGTGTTGACCAAACAAACTCCATGCAACATATGGTGCAATTGTCTACCATACGCCAGTGCTACACCGGCACAACTTGTCATTCGTGTAATTTGGGTTTCATAACAAACATCAGCGAATATTATTATTTATATTAATCTAACTGTGTATAACAATGTCCATAATAAAAATAAGGAATAGGAGAGGAGAAATGTGACCGCCTTGGGGAACTCCAGAGGTAGTAGGAAAACGTGAGGATAGATGGTCGTTTACTTTAACTTGTTGACATCTGTTTGACAGGTAAGAGCTAAACCAGGATCGAAGAGGATCAGAGATGCCTATGGATTTAAGTTTAGAAATAAGGATTGAATGGTTAACAGAGTCGAACACCTTACTAAAATCAGTATATATATATATAACGTCTACTTGAAGGCCAATTTCCGTAGATTTTATTAAGTTAGATAGAAAACAAATCTAATTAGTGTCAGTCGACCTGCCAGATAAAAAACCATGTCGATTGGAGTCTAAGGTATTTTTAAATGTCTGTGCGAAAGTGGACATTATGAGTTTTTCTAAAAGCTTAGGAATTGGAACGATTTTTGCTTTTGGTCTGTAATTAGATACTATAGATTTGCCCCGGTTTTAAAATAATAGACACATTCTTTTAGGCCGACCGCGTCTACGCATGATACCTGTTGCTCCAATTGCGAAATATTAATATAACTTATATACTACTCTAATTAATACTAAATATTTCAGGGGTTCATAACAGTGTATCTGAGTATTTTATAAATTTTTTAATGATATCTAAGCCCGACGACGAAAGAGTGACACGTTTGCGAATTATTTAGTAGATTATTATAGTGTGAAGAAGTCAGTATCCACCTGAAATATGGCTCAAGCATCAGAAGAGCCATTTTTAACCATCAATGCATGCGAGTCATTCCATACCCATTTTAGTTCTAGTTTTTAAACAACTCATCCAAATATTTTTATGTTTTTAGAAAAATTAAAAGCAATTTTAATAGAAACATACCTACATTAAATTAAATAGTATAAATGAACCTTAACTTCACTCGATAAGAACTCGGGCGCAGTTAACATGTAACCTTTTTACACTTGATAAAAACTCGGTCGCAGTTTACATATTGTATGATTTTGTGTTTACCTGTGCCTTGGGCGCAGTTTACAATCGCCGATAAGAGATAAGTGAGATAATTATAGATAAGACCATATTATTAAAGATTTATTTTTCGGATCTAATTACAAAAAATGTATCTACTATTTGGTATAATAAAACAATAGTACAAATATTATGTTTAATTTTAAATAGGAATTCCAAAAAGTAAATATGAAGAGTTTATTACATTTTATTTTATTAGCAGAAGTAACAAAAAACTCTAAACGAATTTTATTATAGGTACTACCTATACTTACGACTTCAATATTTCTAATTAAATAACACATTATACTGATAGGAGTCGATTACTTGTATATTTTCCTCATAAACTTATGTATGCGAACAGGGATGTTCTTAGAATATAAGAACATTAATATTGATAGTTAATTTTCTTCTTTATACTTAGTCAGCCAAGGTAAACGGCCGTAAACCACGTCCAGAAAGTAATCATAATAATTACAACATACAATTTTACTTAAATTATTTCTATATATATTTTTTTTACATCCTAAACTTTTCTGGTACACTGATCAATATAATTACCGTGAAGTAATATAGGACTAGAAGTGGAATAACGGTACAATAGGAGCTACTTTGTTTTGTTATTTGATAGTTAGCAAACTAGGTATAGGTATAGGATTTGTATATTTTACCTTCTATGTACTTGTCTATTTTGCATGATTTTTCGAACCATAATTCATAAGGAGATTTGCTTACTTGACCCGAATCACCTGTGCGTTTTAACACAAACATTGCTAAGTTAACTGCCTCTGCCCACAATGATTTTGGAAAATTCTTGGAATAGATTTGTAATAGAAGAAAAACAAGGGGGAAGTGGCGGTGAATGGCTATTTTAAATATTTATAAATTATTCTCTTAATCGGGGCGTGTATGTGTGTATATTTACTACAAGAACTCACTTCCTGCCTCTAGACTTACTATTACACAGTGTTATAATATTGTATATAGTACATATCTTGTCGTGTTTTCTAAAAGGTTTGTTCGGTCGCTTCGCGACTTATTGAGCTTACAATTTTATTATATTTTTTCAACTAATTATACATGTGTTATTATTTATGTTAACCTAGGATGATAACCAAAACGCTAAGGCAACCTTACCAAACACACATTACGCTGAAGCTTCTGTAGAAAGTTTGGAACAGTCTTCTGAATATAAGGTAAGTCTCTTCTTCTTCTTGTTAGTAACATTGTTATTTTATGAATTAGCTGAAAATAATGTTATCATCTTTTAATAAACAAATGCAATGATACAGTGCCTATTTACATTTCCCCCTTTTTTTACAATCCATAAATGCTTATAAGCTAACCTCCTAACCTAACCTAATCTAACGATTGTACGCCCCAAAAGCTGTAGTAGTCTATTACAGTTGTAATAAAAAAAAAAAATATGCCAAAACTGGAGTAGAGAAATATTAAACCTCGAGTTGTTATTTACATATATTTAAATATTGTATTAATTAGCTTTTTTGCGTTTAGGGAGAAGAGAGACAATTAGACGAGGAGGTGAAAAAGTTCCCCCGTGCTCCAAGGCCGGATTTGGTAAGTCTAAAATACTAAAAAATTGACTATGGCCAAATTTTTTTTCCCCTTTTTTTACAATCCATAAATGCTTATAAGCTAATTTCCTAACGTAACCTAACCTTTTTTTTTTTTTCTTACATTATATCAAAGACTGGAGGGTAGCACAGATGTTAGTCATTTCACCCCCCCCCCCCCAGCCATCATCGTTAGGTGGAAGTTTATTTCACCGTGCTTTCTGTCGTGCCATGATTTAATACCGGTGATCAATCGGTGGGTCCACCGTCCATTGGGGGACGCGTTCCATCTTGTCTGCCAAGAGGAAAAAAGGGCCTCGCGAGCTCTTGATTTGACTACGCTCTGATCCAGTAGATTTTTTTGTTTAAACACCAGCTGGCGCTCCGTAGCTAAGAGGTTGCTAATAATTTCAATTTAATTTCCGTGAATTGCTGTTTTAGCACTTGTATAATAAACAATTTTATTGTTACATTATAATCAGAATGAGAGGCTCTATAAGCAAAACGCTGATAGCATAAAAATCTGATAATTTTTTTTGATATTTGTTTAAATCTTGAATTTGTTTTATTGAATTGAAATTATTGAATATTTTGCAATTTTTCTCGTTTTTGTTTGGTCTTAGAGCACTGATATTAAAATTTTTAAATTAAGCTATTTAATTTAATGTAAGTTTCTAACTGTATTTATTTTATTTTTTCTATAAACATAAAAAGTTCTGGGTGTATAGTATAAAAACTTGAATTACAGAATATTCAGATAAACTTTCTGGGCTTAGAAATGGTATACCATAGCATTGAACTATTCACCTTCTAATATCACTGTTCTTATCTTTGTAGTCAATTTTCAAGCCGTTTTGCTGGATATTTTTATTCCACGATAGTGTTAGATGAAAGCGACATCCGTGTAACTTTATCTAAAGGCGAAACAGTTTTACATGAAAATTGAATAGTTTTCTCGAAATCTATTACAACATCGGGCGGTGATATCGTAATATTGTTTTGAAAACCATATTCACAAATTGATTTTAGGCAAAAAGTGCAAGATATTGTACTTTTATTGGATAGTAAACATATAACGAGTGTTATATAATAGCCGTTGATAAAACCATGTATTGTAAACATTTGTGTGAAGTAATTAGGGTAGTATGAAAATGTACCGCCCATGTAAAACCATTTTGTTATTGCAAGAGTATTTAAATTAGAAACGCAACTGATAACTACACATTTGAACTCCTTGTTGTTTATTAATACAAATAACTCTTATCTATTTGTTTGAACACCGCGTTCGTCAAGAACTAATTGAACTTATTCAATAGATTAAGGGAGTGGAGGTCATTATAGGTTGGCTTACTTGTCAATCTGTTTTTACATATTACGTACCATGATCCTATAAACTTCCAGTAAAATATTTAAAAAAAAAACAATTTGGTTTGTACAATTATAATAGAGTAATTAAAATAGTATACTATTTCACATTAAGTTTACACTAATTATTTAATTTTTTATATATTTCAGACTGCAAGGGACGCTTTGCCGTTAAATGACCGGTTGGCCACGGCCACTGAAGCGTCCGAGGAATTAGAGCAGTAAGTCTTTTTGGACATTTTGTCAGTGGTTTCATAATTTCAGGTTCTTTAAAAATAACTATTTATATAAAATTAAAACAAATTCTTTAATGATAAACAATAATCAAAATCCACAAAAGCTTAAAAAATTTTCGTTTTTAAAAAATTATCAAATTTATTTTTATAAAAAACGTACATTTAAATACAATATATTAAGTATAAAAAAACCAATGAGGGGGAACTGTTAGCCACATGACTACTTTCCCTCAATTTGAATTTATTTGGAAAATATACTTTTCAAAATAAGAAAATAAAATATGTTAGAACATAAGTACTTACTAACCTTATATAGCTTGAATATAGTTCTAAATGAAATTAGTATTAACTATTTGGTTTTGCATGCTTATCTATTTCCTAATAACCTGTGTTTGTACATCTTTTTAATGTTTTGAAATTTGTAAATTTAAAGGATTAAAAACATACTAATAGAAGAAAAGCAACATGTGATAGCCAAATGTCAACAATATTACGAAGAAATAAGGCTTTTAGCAGTAACTGAAAATAGCCCACTAACAAGGGCCAGAAATAAAAAATTAAGATTGTGTTTGTCCAAATGTCAAGATTTAAAAATTTTTATAGAAGATCTGGAAAGTGGTCCTGAGGTAAGTACGGCCCTGTATGCCGGCTACATTTACGCTCGGTTCGCTTGGCACGGGCCGTTTTGTCGGCTATTCGATGCACCTGTTTTTTTGCGCGAGAGGCGTCCAGCCGACACATAATCGACTTGCGGTCATTTTTTTTTCTATAAAAACTATAAAGTTATCTAGATAAGATAACGGACAATTGAGTAATATATCATCTAGATAAGATATTGAATTATTCATTTAACATTTATCTAGCTAAAAGATAAAAGATAAATACAATTTTATCTAGATGAAAAATAGATAAATTATATTTTAACCTTCATAAAATATGTTATACGAAAATGTATGAGTAAACATTTTATATAAATACTTATATACTTTTGTGATATACACTTAGCAGAGAATTAAATATTAAAATTTGATAACTGCTACAAATGAATTACTTTTAAAACCGCAAACAAATATTACACTTAACATATTTTTCCAAAGTTTATATAATAGTATATCTATCTAACACAAATAATAAAAATAATTTGACAGTTAACAGTAATTTTTGATCCGTCAACCGACAGTATTTTGTAATATTTGCCATCCAGTAGATAATTTTGATTTTTATCGATCGCATTTGTAGACTCTGCTGGTTGTGACCCCGCAGGATTGTTAATTTGGTATTGATCACCCTCGTGACATCTTGTGATTTTTTTTGGTTTATTTAAAATGTTTGAAAGCGTACGAAAAGCTTTAGTTACTGACAATTTTATACCCAACTTGTCTGCGATATTTTCTACTATTTCAATACTCTATTCAGAATAAGAGCGGTCCGGGTTGCACATTTTATGTACCATGATCCTATACACTTGCAGTAAAATATTTAAAAAAACAATTTGATTTGTACAATTATAATAGAGTAATTAAAATAGTATATTATTACACATTAAGTTTACACTATTATTTAATTTTTTATATATTTCAGACTGCAGAGGACGCTTTGCCGTCTACGGCAGAAATGGAATTAGAGCGGTAAGTTTTTTTAGACATTTTGTCAGCGGTTTCATAATTTATAATAAATTCATTATTGACAAACAATGTTCAAAACCTATGAAAGATTTTTCATTGAATTTCATTTGGTGGGTTACTGGATATAAATATAGTTGGGCAACTAAATTTGATATACAGGGTGATCCAACTAACGTAAGACACTCATTTTCTCGGAAAATATGAATATTTTGAAAAAACATTTTTTCCTATTCTTTTAGGTATAAGTTTTACTACATTTTTCAATGCTTCGAAAATTTTTATTTTCATCCCTTATACGATAAAAAGGGTCTAAGTTCACGTTTTCAAATGGCAACATATGTTTTTAATTCCATAAATTTGTAGGCAAAAAATTTAAAAATATGTTATCGTTTGAATTATTAATTTTTATCCATCTAGTCGTTAGCTATGACTTTGTAAAGATATTACATTTTCTCTTAAATATTGTTATATTTCTTTGGTTTTCCAAAGACCGGGAGCCAATAAAATACTTATTTATGATCGCATTGTCCGATAGATGAGTACACAGATAACCAAACACAATAAAATGTTTTGTGATATTTTGTTTGACCAGCGTTTCATATTTATAGATTACCGACTTTTCTAACACACCGTCATGACAGGTAGGTTGACAGACCTATATTGACAGCAGCTAACGAATGGCTATTTAACCATAACAATCAAAAACCATGGTACAAGTAGGTTGATAACTGCTGCTATGATGATAATACAAAATATTATTATCATTAGTTATCATATTTTTCTACTATCTATGTTCTACATTCAACAAGTAACAGCACAGTACAACAGATCATTATTATGCTATTTGAAAATTATAATTTTTAGTTTTTATAGGTAGTAAACAATAGCTTTAAAATTTGGCTTACAATCTCATAAGTGCATACATTGAATAGACACGCGTCGAGAAGCGTTACTATTATTTGTTTAGTTATGTTCAATTTATTCAAAATATGTTCTGTGCTCAAATAATTGTTTTAAACAATTTACACTAAATAAGGAATTTTGGATTTAATTTGCTTACTATTTTAATTCTACAGTAAATATTTAAAATGTTGCTTATTTTACATTTATAACTAACTTTTTTTTATTATATAAACAACTTTATTAATAAAAAATAATGCAATAAAGTGGACTGTGTTTAAATGATTAAGTTGTCTAAAGACTAGATGTTTGTAAACAGTGTTTTAGGAACCTACAACAAAATCACAGTTAAGTTTGAAATTGTATTAATTATCAACTTAATTTAAGCCGGTAGTTCCAAACTGTGATTTAAAGTACTTTTACTTTTTTTTCTGTTTTCCCCATCCTGTTGGCAAAAAAGATTTGATTTTTCTGTAACGGTAAATTTTTCAACATAATTGATATTTCATTTTTTTTTAAGTCAAGTTATTTCTTATTAAGATCCCGTTAATAAAAATATGGATCAATAGTTTGTGACTCAATTACACAAAATCACACAGTGATACTTAAACTTCAGAAATAAAGTTAGGGTTTGTGTCACGCAAACATTAAATTATCAGAACTTGTCTTTTTTATTTTATTAATAACTATTAAATTAAATAGTTTATATGTTCTTATATTTTTATTAGTACTTACTAATTATTATTATAACTTATAAGGTGTATAATGTTATAATAATAGTGATTCTAAAGCCTTTATAATAAAATATGTCTGTTTCAAAAATTTCAAATTGAAAAGTTAATTCTTTTACAGTTGAATCTGCTATTTTGATTTTATGTATAGTCAGTATTTTCTTATTTTTATTATTTTCTTCACTATTTAATATCTAGAAAATTAAAAGCTTAATAGATTTTAGTTGTTTAAAAAGAAAACCATTATTTGATATTTCCTTGTTTACTATACAAATTAAAGTATTGACATTATTAATCTATTATAACGGGTACGTTTTACTAAGATTATGTAAAAGTGGCAATATTAAATCAAAAATAGCCTTAGCTAAATTGTAGTATCTAAATTTAACAATTATTCTGTAATAAAACACATTATTAAGGATTTAAATTTTATGGAATTTGTACGCGACAAGTTTGTCCGATTTTATACACATACATACATGTATACTATATTTATGTATGAACACAAATAATTATAAAATCAATTATACTAACTTATAATGCATAGTTGTTAAAAATAAAATTTGTTTACCTTTAATGATGCAAATAATGGTTAAAAGATTATTTGCTGTAATGCGTATGCGACAATTTTCCTACTTTAAAAAGTTAAAAACAATTTTTATTAATTTTTACTGTGTATTTTACAAAATTTGAACATTGATAACACATAGTCAAACAATTGTGTTGATAAATTTCAACGACAAATATATAGTATAGTATAACATTTAAAGAACAATAATAATCTTTTGTCTGATAACATAAGTATTTAACTAATAAAATATTCATAAACTAATTATTAATACAACAATAAATTTAAAAATTACAAATGTTACTATTTTGAAAATATTCAATCAAAAATATTAAACAAAAACAATATCTATACATTTGAAATTGTTCAACTTCTATAATACTGATTTAAATTTTTTTCTTTTAACAATCGTTGGTAATTAAACAAATCTAACAAAATCAAAATTCAATAAATAAAATTAACTATAAGAATTATCTTAGGCAAGTTCAAAAAAATAACTTACTTGATTTACTGAATTCATTAAATACAAATTAATAGAATTACTACTTTTTAAAAGAGAGAATTATTGTATATTAATAAGTTTAATATAAAATTTAACTTTGATAGCCAAATACCTGTGTCAGTTATAGCTAAAACTTTATGATAAAATATCCGTAATGTATGTCAGACACACAATATATGGGTTATATCATTGTAAGAAATAACTAAACTGAAAGCAGACATTTGAACTACCTTAGATAAGTTTAATCAAATAAAAATAATATACTTACATATTATTATAAATATTGGTATAATCAAGAAGCGATTCCTTGTATGTAGTAGTATGAAATTCATACATTAATTACTGATATTTTTAAAAATAAATGAAACGGGTATATGAGTATTATCAACCCACATACACAAATACATGCATTAATAATTATTTTAAGTTAACACAACACACTTTTCATTCAAATTGCTTAGTGTTGATATTATACATTCACATGAAAAAATGTCACATTAGAAATAAATGTTTTATACTTATAATTTACACCTTGATATATAATTGTAAGGTCTTAGGTCCGATTGGAAAGACATTTCCATAGCAATTGATATGTCATACTCAAAACCAATTTTACATGATAACATTGGTTTTTAAAAGATGAAATATTTTCAGTAAAAAAGCATTCAACCTAAATTAAAAAAGCTAATTGAAATCGTATTGTATTAAATTACCCATTAAACTCTAATAAACTTACCTATTAAATTAATGCTTTATATTTATAATTTACACCTTGATATAAAATTGTTAGGTCTTCAGTCTTGGGTCCAATTGAAAAGACATTTCCATAGTAATTGGTATAGCCTATTCTCAACGCCATAGATATTTCTGACATGATAACATTGATTTTTAAATGATAAAAGATTTTCGGAAAAAAGCATTCAACCTAAAATAAAAAAGCTAATTGAATTCGTATTGTATTAAATTATCTATTAAACTTTAATAAACTTACCTATTAAATTAATGGTGTGTCCAAGAATGTAACGTCAAAATAAAGTCGAGAGCAAATATTATCAATTGATATATTTAAAAAATTATAAAATAACGAGTTATGACATAACTACAATACGCATGCTATCATATTTACTATAAAGTAAAATGTAAATTTACTAACATTTTTTAATTAAGTTTGCAATTTCTCATTTCACTAATGGAAAACGTGGGAACTTCGAAGTCGAAATTTGTTAGCGATGAGGTTATGTACAAATAATAAATATAATGTGATTTTGTACAAATAATAAAATATATTATTGGTACTGGTCACTCGATTATTCCGTGGTAACTGATGCATAGTTTAGATACTAGATTGTTATCCGAGATAACCAGCTAATGACTAGCTCCAGCTAGATTAGGTTAAAGTGTAAAGTCCGTTATCCGTAACAGTCTACCTTTCGTCTAATAATGTATGGTTATTTATTATATCTGATTATGATACGGAATGCGTTAACATCAAATTATTATTATATTTGATGTGATGACCGTCGTAATAAAACTACTTGTCTTTGTCGAATCGAATGAAATTATTAAGAAATATAGACAAAAATTCAAATCTTTACAAAGTCATAAACAGCGAACAAATGGATGAAAATTAAAAATTCAAACGCTAACATTTTTTTAGATTTTTTGTCTTTATATTTATGGAATTTAAAACATATGTTCCCATTTGAAAAAACGAGGTTCGTACTTATTTAACGTATAAGGGTTGAAGATAAAATTTTTCTAAATATTGAAAAATGTAGCTAAATATGTACCTAAAATTTTAGGGAAAAAAAAATTCGCAAAATATTCATACTTTCAGAGAAAATGAGTGTCTTACGTTAGTTGGATCACCCTGTATAGTATATATTTCCACCGAAAATAAATGTTTTTTATATCTATATTTAAAACTAACAATAGTTAATCTAAGTAATTTAAGTATATTTAGATTTGATTACATAAATAATATGATGTGCATCTGTTAGATTTAAATCTCCTATTATTTTTGGAACGAAGTTCCTTATCGCGGGTTGGCGAGGGGACCTAGCCAAGAAAAAATGTAACGCATTATAAAAACTATATGTGGTGCGGTCGAGCGTGATCGGTTCCCAGGAGTGAGTGATACCGGGTTCATCAATTGGGCTCCCTCTCAACACTTTTTGCATTTATTTACAACTTTTATGGTAATTTATATCGCAAGAAGTCTAAAAACTTATAAAATATATATATTTTATACAACAGAATACATTTTTACCCCTAAAAGTACTAGGTCACCTACATTGCATTCGGTTTTCGTCATTTATTATACTTCTCGTACTGATGATTAAATACAATTTTTTTTTATATAATTGCAATATTTTAGAATTCAACATGTAAAGTTGTAGGACTAAATAATACTGAAATATAATGTAAATTAATTTTTCATGATACATATTATAATTTGGTTTGAGAAAATTATGAAAATTAATAATTATCATTGATATACGTCTAAAATATGTTACCTCATTACATTTCATTAAGTTAATAACCGTTAGTACCAAAGTAACATGAGTAATATTGTACGATCTCCGGCGTTGACTCGACGGTCAACTGAATCAAAAATAGGTGATCAACTAATTTTGAGTCTTCCGTCTTGTTCGAATCAATGAATCGTTTTTAACCCTTAACTGGGCAATGTATATTTTTGGATACTTATAAGGTAGCGCAACAACAAGATGATCAACTATATTTAAATATCGATATTTTTATTAAGAACCGATATCATCTCATGAAGGCTGCACTAGGAATGGGCGTACGTACAGTTCGAGTTTATTGATTATTTAATATCGATACAATCATCCAGTTGCAATATAATGTTAATAACATTATATTTTATACTTATCGATATTTAGATACATCGTTATAGTTTTATCAATATCAATAAAAATATATCAATCTATCTGGGCAGTGGCGTCAATTTTTATGGGCTGGTCAAATTTTCGATACATAAGGCCGTAAATTATCTGTTTTTTATGCAACTACCTACATTAACTTACCCTATAATAAACCGTCTGAACTGACTACCAAGTATAATAGGTATGAAGATTTATAATACTTGTATTATTACTGTTTTGAATCTAAGTGTTTTGGAAAAAATATTTATATTTGTAAAAATGTTGCCCCACCCTAAGAAAAACTGAAATGTCGCCCCTGTATCTGGGTCATTATTATCATGTAGGTCATGCTTAATAAAAATGGAATAAATAAAAATATGAATTTCAATAATAATAGTGTTTATATAATGAAGCTATATCATATGTCCTAAACTGAGATATTATATCCCTACCTACAATTATTAGACAGCTTTAGTTGTAGATGAAATAACACATTGGATATAATGTATTCCAAATTTGTGAGTTGATATATCACAGTGACACACCGAAAACGGCCAATTTTGCTGTGTAAAATCCTCCATTAGAGCAGAGGTTCTAGAAGTGGGTCCAGAAGCAAGAGCGTCAACTTCCCAAAATAATCTTTGATAATCTTGTACACTATGTTTTTAAAAAAAATGTAATTCTTTGAATTACTTGTTTTTCTTTTGATATTATGGAATTTTAACAAATTAAAAATCATTTTTGAAATATATTTTGGCGGTAATACGAGTAATAAATTGTTTTTGTCTGTAAATTCTTATATACATAATATTTTACGTGTTGTGCTAACGTATACATATTTTACATTAACTTATAATAATAATTTAAAAAAACATAAAGGATTACTAAAAAATAGTAGCCACACATTTTCATAGGCCCTAGGCACAGTGCCTATGCGCCAATACGGCCTGTACATAAGGGCCCCAGACCTCTCTGATACCTTCGCTTGTGGGGGCACTGGTATTTGGTGTCATATTGTCATGATATGGATATATAGTAGTAAACCACAAATAAAATACGTAGGCATAGAATGGGATGTACTTTGGACAACCATTGGTTACGGACATTATTATGTCCAAATAACTGAAATTCGGATTTTTTCTTGGACAACCTATACCCGCCGGAGACATCCTCAGAATAATCAAAGAATGACAGACATATTGCTTACAAGATTTTATGTAAAAAGACGGAATTCCGTCGCTTTAAATGTTAATAATAGAGTTTTTTTTAAAGAAAATTATCGGTGTACATTGAAATACTTAAACGAAAATTATTTTCAATAATATTATAAATCGTCAATATCCCATTATTTCTGTATGTATTAAATTCGCAACGGTTACAGACTATTTTTGGAGATTTATTAGGTTTCTAGTCAAAACAAACACCTTCCTTCGCCACCCCATAACCCTTCTGTTGTCCATTCGATTGGACGCCTCAGTCAGCGGTGGCTTTAAATTTTTGTTTTGTTTATAAGAAGATAAGTTATACAGAATGTACCTAACACCCAGTGACAACTGAATATTAAAAACTCATCACTACAAACAAATATTTTCGAGGGCTTAATTTCTAAACTCTACATATTATTATTTCAAAAATAATTTGTTGATTTATCTATTAAATAAAATAAAAATGCTGCGCTACCTAATAACAATATTAAACTTTTATTCAAACAAACACCAATCATTTTTGGGTACTTCTTTGCACGTTCTGTATACTATGTACAACATACATACCTACTTAAATTTTTGTGTATATAGTAGCTCAAAAGGGATGAATGGGGTTGCCTAGTAATACCAAAGAGTTACTGTAGTGTCAAATGTGTAATGTATGTATAATGTTGATAATTTGAAAACTTAAATAATTTAAAAAAGTTCCTTTTTCGGTTATCATTAGTACTAAAACTAGAATTGCCTCACCGGTGCAACAAACAGTTAACTAAACAAAATACAAAATAAAATTCACACACAACAAATTAACTTAATTTCTGGCCAAGGGTGTAGCGAAGTCATTGTTCCCAAGTCCATTCGGCCGACTGACTTAACAAAAACAAAATGTACACGCACAAGAACTAATTAGTCATTTTTTTCCCCTTACTTTTTAATTTTCTCAATGTTCTTATGTTAAAATTTTAAAACTAATATATACGCAAAAATGGGAATACTTTTAAATGAATATATTTATAAAAAAAAATGCAATGGATACAAAAAGTGGTTAAATGTTATTTCATATTTTTTTTTAGAACCGCCATTGTTAAGACCATTTTTTAATAAATAATAATATAATTTTACTTAATACTAATAAAGAATAACAAATATACGAAGTAAAACAGGGCTGTGTATACTTTCGTACCTAAGAAGGTATATTTGGCAGGTAATTCATCCGGCGCGGCAACTTTAAAACATTAACTTCCATTTTGTACCTATACACTTAGCAATACGTACTAAAAAATATATAGATTATAGGTGATACCTACACGCATTTATAAAATAAACAAAGATAACAGTTCAATAATAGGTAAACAGTTTTCTAGAGATAATAAAATATCGTTTTTTTGGTGGTGAAAAATATACGTTCGGACTTTTTGTCTCTTTCAAAATGCCATCTGGAAATATTTTTTAAAAACAGCCTCGTTTGAGTCGTTAGCTAATAATTACTCCTTAATAATATGTCATGCTGGCAGCACAACTAACACCATTAATAATCGTATATTGTATACAAGTATTGTTAGTGTTGGCACTACTGAGAGGCGGTTTTTTTAGGGGTGGCGTTTTGTCCGGCGGCGTTTTGTCGATTTTTTATCCGGCGACGTTTTGTCGATTTTTTGTCCGGCGACGTTTTGTCGGGCGACCTTTTGTCGTGTTTCCCTTGACACTTATTAAACAGCCGACTGCCGAGTGCTGACAATGAAATAATTATAAATCTACAGCGACCGTGGTTACTAAATTGGTATCTGGTAACCAATCGTCAGCTGCAGCTGCCGCAGTGTAGCCAACGTTATAAAAATCAAACTTTCTGCGGTACGTGTATCATCACAGAATAATCTATTATGATTTATGTGACAGTACCGCACGGCTTATTAGTTATTCATTTATCTAATCCGCTAATATTGTATTATATACACGGCTATAGCCGTGATTATATTATTATAATATTAATATTCTTCAAAGACCGATATTATAGACCAACATTTATTTAATCTATGCATGTACCTTTAGCCATAAAATTATCGTATGTTCATTTTACAGTGTATAACAAATATTATTATCACTGATCACACCTCAAATCTCGATGCGCAAATACATGAAAAAAAGATAGGTATACCACAGGTATCTGTATATGGGCGGCAATGTATTTCTTAAAGGGGGATAGTTGTTCCACGGAATAAATGAAATTCATTTATTCCGCGGTTGTTCTACCATCAGACACATTCACTGTTGTTTAAATATTGATAACGTCAGTTGCTGACATACCTGTTTTTTTGTGCGTTTAGGTATCTTGAGTGTTATCCTAATTAAGTATAAAGTATTAACACTTTGTGCTCTGTAAATACCGAATTGTTAGTTGTGATTGTGCGACTTTCAACAAATTGTTACCGAGTATAAATTATTAATTAATATTCGGTTATATATTATACTTTTACAGCTGCGGTGTCGTGTGTTGTTACAAATCAATTATTTACGCAATCCATTGTTTATTATAAAATTATCGGTTGGTTTTTACCTAATTACTTTTCGTTAATTTTTGTATGTGAATTCGTATTGCTTTTTTCGTAATAATCGTAATTATCTTCTACTTTTTTTTGCTTTAAATAATAATATCTATCCGTTCTATGGATATAGTCATGTGTTGTTGTTAATTATAATGTAGTGATCATTGTTGGAGTTTCATGAGAAAATGTCAATTGAAGACAACGAATCTGTTGATGAGTATTTTACAAGTTTGAGATCGGATTTGGTAAGGACATTACTTGGCTTATAGCATTGAGTTTTATTTTAATAGTGATGTTACTTTCCTAGCTTACACATGTAAATATGTAGGGATTCGTCTGAACACACTAATGGGATAATGTATATGTACAGCTTATTAGTTATTCATTTTTATTACAAATTATTTTATGTTTTATCCCCCATATTTTTTAGAACACTTTAACTTTTTCTTATACTATTACTTACTTCGCAGATGAACCGAGAAGATATAACCCGTATGGAGAGACCTAGCAGAATATTTAGTAGTCGTCATCATTCATATCCATTATCTCCAATGTATTCAGGTAAAACCAATTACAGTAGATATCATTTATAGCAATATTTCAACAACCTATAGTTTAAATTGAGGAAGAGCAGGAGCTCACTGTCGCCGGTTCGACTCTCTCCGGCAACGGACTGACGACCTGTCCCAGATAGCGAATTCGTCAAGAAACCATCTCATGATGGCAGCGTTGGGCCTTCATGGCCCGTTAAGCTACATGAAAAAACAAATAGTTTAAATTGTTATATTTAATTTTCATTATGAAAATGTAAACAATAATGACAAAAAAATGACCATGGTTGTGGGCTGATACCATAGAGTGGTACAAATTGTCAGTGGTTATAAAAATATTATAAATAACAATGATTTGTAATTTGAATAATAAACCTGAATTTCATTCATTATCAGATAACAATAATATGGATCTCAGTGATCAATTACGATATCGATCAAGAGAGTTGGCTAGAAATTTAGGAAGTCCATTACGTTCGACTCAACCGGAAGGAGGTTTGTGTATTACATTTCATACGTATATGTCTATTTTTTAATAAAAACTTTGTTTTAGGAAGCGATTTACGTTACGTTGGAGACTATGAAAGACGACCTAGGCCTTATCCTTGGAGATATTCGGATCGTTCTTATAATTCATCTCCCACTATTCCTAGTAAGTTTTTTTTCCTTGAATAGTGAATTCAATTTAAGTACACCACAAATATTATGATACTACTAAATAGTGAATTATTTCTTACCTACTCTTTGTTTTTCAGATACGTCTAATGGAGATACTGGTAGGAATCGATCTCCTTATGTAAGATTTACAATTACCGATCCTGACACTCAACGTGTGACAGCTGCTGGGCAAATTCCATTGAATGATCCTTCAAATACTCATACTGCCAGTTAGTTCAATTGTTTTTAATATATTTACGTGTTTAAAAATACATATTACATCAAGACATTTTTGCCATTAATGCTTTTGTATGTATTGGAGTCGTTTTTATTTGGGTGAAGTTTGAATTTTTATTTTGCCTGCCTCTTAATTATAATAAAACAATTTTAAATTGTCCTTGTAGTCCAAACTGTAAATACTCAACTCTAATTATTCACTGTAATGAGGAGATGTTTCCCACTTAAAATTCTCCTTTTTTTATTTTGACGTATATTTACATTCTTCTACAGGAATAAATAATTGTAGACAAAATTGAAACTGTACATTAACTCCATAAAATCTAATGTTAAAGTATATATTTCTTCGGAAATTAAAAAAAAAAAGCTTATTAATTAAGCCAAGTCTACACTGCCATGCAAAACCTTTGTCATTTATACGGATTTTTGTGGCCGCTGATGTGTATATTTTCACAAACATTTCTTTTATGTTTCAATATATTGACTGAGTTTAGAGTTGGAAAACATCTTCTTATCGCAGCAAATAATTATAGGCGAGATAAAAAAAGATTGTAGGAAATTTGATTTATGCTTTGTTCAAAATTGATTGTGAGATTTATAAAATAAAAATTCAAACATCACTTAAAAGATAATCACCCTAGTATAACATCTTTGGTGTTTGGTCAAAATAAATTAAACCAGAGTTTTTGAAAAATGATGTTCAATTTGAATTATAATTTTTAATAATTATTCTGGGAGAGGTGTATCTTCTAACAATGTATTTTATAAGTATTAATGAATTATTTTTTATTAATCTTTTTTAAGGATCCGAAACTCCCCCAGAAGGCAGTTTAGAACTTGAAAACATGCTGCATGCATATTCCAACAACTTTTTAGCTAACCAGTCTGTTTTAAATAGTTTTAACAATCCTATGGCATCAAGAAATCCTGCATCGGGTAGACGATCCAGACGATTAATGGATCATCCATATTTCATGAGACATCATGTAGATACCCCTATTAGGCCACCTAATAGGCGTGTTCGATTTTCTTCGACAAACCAAAACTATAGTGATCATGTAAGCTTTAACATATTATGTATAAACATTGAATTTAGAATATACAAATAAGCAGTGTACAAGTTTCCCACCATTAATGGGTATGTGGTATATTCTGTTAAAAACAAAGCCATGCCATTGTCATGATGACAAAGAACTCCCTCTGTTAACAAAAAAACTCGGGAATATATACTATATGCTGTGTACATCTGTATATTCTAAAATGATTAATATAAACACATCTTCTTTATTATTTTGAAATAATATATAAAATAATAAATTTTAACTCCAATAATTGTTTAGTCTTTCGATGATAGAACTCCTGAACAAGAACTTCCTGCAGAACAAGAAGAACAAATAGAACTCGAAAATATTTCATATGATGTTATGAAGTTAGTGAACAATACATAATTTTGTTCGTTTTATTTTTCTTACATATTTATATGACGTGTTATTGATCGATTGGATTTATTTTTACAGCCATAGTCAAGGAAGCGTGTCCAGTTTGTCATCGATTTCAATGCCAGATGTAGATTCTAGCGACGAGAGAAGATTACAGGATTTCACAGTATCGGAAAATAATGAATCTTCTAACGGAGATTTAGAAAACAGGAGATCCAATATGTTGATAACAATACAAAGTCTTGATCCCGGTAATAATGAACCTATTAGTCCGTTCAGTGTTCAAAGTGAAAATTCGCCACCGGTCACCCTTTCTCCACCGCTATTGACTATAAGCAATAACATGAATTCTAGATCGTTATCTTATACTGATAATGATGAAGAAGACGACCATGCATCGATTTCTATGGAACTCGAGTAAGCAAAGTCTTTTTATTTATAATTTACATATTGTCGGTCTAATTTGCAAAAGTCCTAACTCCAAAAATGCAATTTTGAGATTAAAACATTTTTTTTTTTTTTTAACCATTTATTCAACATTGAATACCAGCTCAACTTGTGTAATGTCACATTACAGTCATTATGGAGTTATGACGGTTACGAATTAGGCCGACGATATGTATATTGTGTACAATGTTATACCACAATGATCTGTTAGTTTCACATACATTTTATAGCTCCTCTGTCAGATTATCTTAATACGTTTAATATTAAATTTTGGTAGAAAAAATAATAAGACTGTACCTGCTTTTAGGAAGTTTAGATGATGGTCTTCGTGTATTATGATTATCTTTTAGCATTTGATGTGAAGCTAAGAAAATATTAGTTTTTAATACATAAAACGCTTTGCGAGTAATTTGGTCACATCTATCCATGTTAATAACTACATCTACCATACATTGCTAACTTTTTGTATCTTAGATATTTAAATAAAATATTAGGATGAATTAATGTCTGTACTGTGTTAAAAATAACATTAATGAATTCAAAAATCAATTACTTTTAAGGAGGTAGAAACTAATTTTAAACGGTTGTTTCTTTGGAAACTAAAGTAAAGATTTATGTTATGCTTTAATCCTTAATATTTGGAGTTTAACTTTCCATTAATGATAGAATGTTTTAAGTAAAGTTCGTCCATTGCATAAATCAAACTTTTTTTTTAAGATTTTGCTTATTGTTTTTCATCTATTAATGCCGATTCTATTTTAACTTTAAAAAAAACGTCTGATATACACTGACATTACATACTAGCTATGTTATTACAAATTAAGTTGTTAATTTCTCTAATTAACAACTTATTATTGTTTATTAAATATTATAATTAGTATTTTTTTTATAGACCTGCTCACAATAGTAATATTGCATTGAACCGGTTTGTGGTCGATGATTTAAATGATACTGATGGTTCTCAAGATGGTATTGAAGAAAATTTAAGTCCACAGAATAGACCGGCTACTGCTGAACAAATAAATAACGAGTATGTGCAACGCTAATTATCCTGTTGTTATATTTATTGTCAAATTATTTGTAATATTGTATTATATTAGTTTCCATTGTTTGACTATGTATTAAAAATTTAGTAGATGTGAAGTGACTGAAGAATCAGTTTCCCATGCTCAAGTTGAAGAACACCCTGGAACTTATAAAGAACTTAATGAACAGTTGGTTCGCTTATTTGAATGTCCTGTATGTTTTGAACATATAATACCGCCAATATACCAATGTTGCATGGGTCACATAATTTGCCAAACGTGTAAACAAAAGTGTGAAATTTGTCCGACGTGCCGAAATTCTTTCAATTCAGAGCGCAACTTGTACATGGAAAAAGTGAGAAAACAAATGCTTTTTAAGTTTTAGCCGATATTTAATTCGTCTAAAATGTGTTAATGTCTTTTTTTGCTAAGGTCGGTTACTTATTGAAGTATCCGTGTAAAAACTCACTCACTGGTTGCACCGAACAAATGTTCATGGAACAAAAAGAACGTCATGAACAAGAATGTGGCTATCAACATTATCCCTGTTTTCTCTCCAATTGTTCTTGGAAAGGTTACTACGCCGAATTCCACGTTCATATGACACAAAATCACAGTTCAATCATACTGTCTGGCGAAGAACAGGTAAATTACCGATAATTGTCGATACGTTCGAGTTATTTAAATACTTTTGTTTTTTGTAAATTCATTATCTTTATTTCAGACTCTGGACATTATTGTACAAGGTAATAATAGTCAAACAAACAAGTGGTTTTTGTGTGCACACGGTGAACATTTTGTAATTATTGTAAACATGTCTGGACCGCCAAATCAAATAAAAGCGTAAGATAATATTGGGAAATATTTAAACTAAAAGAAATAATTGTTAAATGTTGTTTAATAATGAATTTTCATTGTTTGTATATGACTTGTAGCCATGTGAACTACATTGGCCATGCGTCAAAAGCAAAAATGTTCAATTTTTCAATAACATTAAGCAAAAACCAAAACGATAATATGTCACAAAAATTAACATACACCAGACCGACGCTACCATATTCCGAAATACGAATCTCCAATAGCCACAATCGCCAAAATGATATATTCTGTTTACCCGGTGAAGTAATAGAACCATATGTGAATAAGAGAAGTAATCGCCTTCCTATTATTTTGAAAATTGAATCAATGTGATTTATAAGTATTTTATATTAAAACGCATAATGTTTAAGATTCGTTATGCTTGTCTATATAATTTTATAATGTGCAGGGGAAAATTTTAGAATGTCAAGGGGTAAAATGATGATAACAATTTTTATACAAAACTATGATAACTACAATTTAAACCTAATAGCATAGATTACTATATCCCCATTTCCTTTTAACATAGATATTTAGTGTGTATTATTATTCTAAATGTTATGATTGAGTACTTATAAATGATTTATTAAATATTTATTGATCTAAGAAAAAAATGTTTGTTTTTAAGTTTTTTCTAGTAATGACATAAGAAATTCATGTAAAATCTCATGTTGTTTATACTCTTAACATATTTTTATCAATATTGAAGAATTACGGGTCAACTTTTCAACAAATTTCTATCTTTGCCTTTTCAAATTTGGTTTCTATCAAAATATGTGTGTAATCTTCTAGCAATCATTCTTATAACATATGGGTTTTTAGAATTTGTTTTATTAATTATTTTAAAAAGATAAACACATGTTTGAATTTATTTTACTTTATTCTATGTTACTTTAAACTAATTTTAAAGACTAAAACAATTTGAGTGCAATTATTTATAATAAATTGTTCAAACTTCAAACACTGATGTATTGCTATTTGTAAATAGTACAAACTATCTGTCACACAACACCTTTGTCATCCTTTTCCATCTCGTCCGATTGCAGTATTCAACTAGCTAAAGGTGTTGGACAACCGGCTGTGGCCTAGTAAGAAATATAATATACAGTCCAGAAAACAAAAAAATTAAAATTTTTTCTTTTAACTACATATGATAAAACCACGCATAAAATTAAACTGTTTATATAGTCTGTGTAGTAGAAGTTGGAACTACGAGACCACTATTTGTTTTTTAAATATTTTTACATATAAATTATTTTATAATTTAGTGAAACAGAGTTAATATTTTTAAACAGACAAGTCTTAAAAATATTATGTATCCGTTAGAAAATAAAATGTCCTAATAATAGTAAAAAATAATTATATCGTCACATCGTAGTCTTACATAACATCTCGTTTAAAGACATTTTTGAATCGTTTTGAAAAAGAGTTAAACAATTTCTTTATTACAACATCAGGTATTGAAAATTATTAAAAATGATACAAGAAAAGTCATATCTGATATCCGTATGTATGTAATAAACATACACATGTTATTATGGTTAGTATTACTACATTATTTTGTTGGTTGGTTAATATAATTCTATTTTTTTTAACAACTAAAAACCCTACAGAGTTTTTATCACCTACATTTAATTTTAAGATAATTAGCAAATAATTGTAAAATGAAATATTCAAGTTAACATTTTAAAATGAGCTTATGCGATTTCTATTGTCAACAATATCATGATGTAGCATTAAAGAAAATAAAACATTATCTCTAAAATCAATTTTTCCCATAGATATATATTTATACATAACGAAGGTAAAACATTTATTTGGTAAAATTTCTGATTTTTATCTCAAGGCTTTTTGTAAGAGAGAAAACGTTGGGTGGAATGTATTTTTTTATAATTTACCAAAAACTATTTTTTTTCCATAGACATATATAAAAAAGAAAAACTTCACGTAGTTGCTGTTGATTGGTATTTGTGAACTTTTTAAAATGTAAACAATTCCAAATGGCAGTTGATCCAAGTAATCTTTTTCCGAAGAACATTTTGCCTTGGGTATAAATTAAAACTATTGAGGTATACAATGTATGGAAATGAAAACGTTGATCCATCGACCACTTTTTCCAATATCAAATTTCGCCATAGATGGTTAAGCAGTTAATAGATAAACTGGTTGGTGGAAAAAAGTGTATAATAGAAAAAATGGTTCTAGGTAAAGCATGCAATTTGATAAAAGTGGTGTCAATTGTTATCCCATTATTATAGTATGAGTTTTTGTTGCGGTGTTATGTGATATTCATCAATTAATATTTAATAATATAAAACAAATATGAAAACTATATTAAACTTTTTATTACAAGAGTACATTTATTTTCTGTGGGATGTGCTTATTCTTCGGTTGGTAATCGAAACGTTTTGTATTATGAAATTATTTAACCGAAATAGTGATCATCATGTTATAATAATAATATGCTATTAATGTTGCTTTTTTTTTGTAAATGAAATAATTTTTTGTTACTTGTAACGCCTGGATAAAAGAAGTAGTATAATATTTCTTAAAACAAGTTCGATTTATCGCCAATTGAGATGAAATTGCCGTACTTTAAAATGTTGTTTTTTTTTTTTTCTTAATCGTGGAAAACTTATATACTATGTTAAAGGTATACTAGGGTCATATTTAGGGGTAGACTGAGATGACCTTGATGGGGAGATGTAAATATTACCATTTTATAGTTTTTGTACCTTTAAGGAATAATTTCTATTAAATGCATGTATGAATGTAATCATTCTACCGTTTAAGAAGTAAAATATTTTACATAGGTACTAGGTAGGTGTATTGTATTGGTTATATTTTGTAATAATAATAATCTAGACACAAAATATAAAATATATATAATAATAAAACTGATAACTTTCATTCTGGCATTGTTAAATAGTATTATATTGTTTTATTGTAAATGTAAATTCATGTATTAAAATATAGGAACAATTATTTTACAGTTTTAATAAGTTTCAAGATTACGTACTCTCATTTAAAAAACGCCCAAATATAAGTTGTTCTTCGAACAGAGATAATGAGTATGTATTGCGTGTAATGTTTTTTTCAATCATTTTTTTTACTATTATAGACACAGTGTTGAGCGAAAAAATCTACTGTTAAAATTTCATAATTATAGATTTTATGCGTACGATTTATTTTATTCATAAAATAAATTGACCAATTTTTTATTAGGTAATGATAATTTTTTTGCCCAACACTCATTATTATATTTTCTATATTATATACATTTAATTGGCAACAGGTTCGAAGTGACTGAACAGTCTGAAACTTTTATTCGAGTTAATAAAAATGCTGAAACATATGATGATCTTAATGAACAGTTAATCAATTTATTTAAATGTCCTGTATGTCTTGGACATATAACACCTCCTATACAGCAATGTTTTAACGGTCATATTATTTGTCAATCGTGTAATCTAATGTGTCGTTTCTGTCCGATATGTACATCTCGTTTTATTGCAAAGCGTAACTTGTGCATGGAAAAAGTGAGTAGGTTAATTTCTAAATTTTAAAGCAAATAAAGTTGTATGTTACACTACCAGGGGGGGTGTAACATAAATCCTTTTTCGCAGTTTCGATTTAATTATATTTAACTTTAATATGATATTTAAAGGTCAGTTATTTATTGAAATATCCGTGTAAAAACTCACAAACTGGATGCACTGAAAAGATGTTAATAGCACAAAAAGTGCTACACGAACAAGATTGTGAATTTCAATATTACTCTTGTTTTTTCGATAACTGTTCTTGGGAAGGAAAATATTCGGATATCCATATACATATGACATATGAACATTGTCGTAGCTCACTTTTTGGAGAAGAACAGGTAAACTTTTTTTTTGCAATTGTTTCAATGTTATCCTATTACAATTGAATATTGATAAAGTAATCGACATATTATAATTATTTAATTTGCAATTTTATTTTAATTGTATTATAAAAATAAAAATGCAAAGTCTCGTTGTTAATAAAGATCTTTAGAGAAAATTTCAAAGCTTTGAGTTAGGACGGAAGTCGCTTATCCTTTAAAAAAAGTTACTTAAGTTAAATTATGTATAATTTTCATTAAAATTTATGGTTTTTAATGTAATAATAAACTTGAAAATTATTTTTAAATATGTGCATACAAATGAACATTTAAATAGGTATTTATATTTAAAATAAATTTAAAAAATGACTTAATTTAAATAAAAATACAAAATGATTTAAATAAATTTTTATTTTTTATTTAAAAATAGAAATAATGAATAAATAAAAAACTATTTAAAATGTTAGGTTATTTGAACTAGTTAAAAATAAAGTTTTCTCATAGGTATTACATATTATATTTTATTAGATATTTTCAGTAATTATTCAAGTACAGTACAAAAATTAAAATTAAAAAAATAATAATATGTTATTCTTTAGCCACTAATTTCTATATATTGTCAATGATCTTATAATAGTATAATAAATAAGCAAATCCTATTGTATAAGACTAATGATATTAGTTACTTTATCCTTCATGTTTTTTTTTTCATTGACTTAACCCTTAACTGGGTCTGTATTGTTAATAAGATGTGCAAGTTAAAACTTATAACAATTTTGACATAAATTCCTAAACATTTTTGTTTTAGGCTCTTGAAATACCTACAACTTGGAATACTAATGGATTGTGTAAAAAATGGTTTCTTACTACTCATTATGAACATTTTGGTATTCTTGTAAATGGTTCACCAAATGAAATGAATGTGTAAGAATACATTTACAAAACCAAACCTAACCTAACCTTACCATTTAAGTATCTAGATTAGTTTACTAGTTATCTTTAACTATTTAGTAAAATATACTATTTAGAGACATTTTTCTTAACTGTACTGAGGTCACCAATCTATTTGTGGAAGTGAATGTGAGCACTGATTTAAGAGGATGAAAAAAAAATGAAATTTTCTAAAATAAGAACTCAGATGTTTGTAGTGAATATGTTAAATAGAATTTTATGAGTGAGTTTACACAATTTATGAGACGGTTTAAAAGTTGTACTAATAGCATGGAAAATAATAAAGAATAGTTTTGGAGGTAGAGCTAATTAAAGAAGTATTGGAATAATGTTGTAAAGCACAGTAGTGTGTGGGATAGATATATTGAAAATATAAAATATATAATATATTATATGATATTGATGCTCCAGTTCAAAACTGCAAGAACTTGACAATTTTAAAATACGATTTATGTATTCCATATTTTTTTTGCCATTTTACAATGGTTATAGTTAAAGAACGTAAGTTTTGAACTGGGACGTTTTTTGATTTATTAATTAAGAAAATACTTTTAAAAAAGACTAGCTTTAAATAATGTATACGTATGTTTAGACAAGTATATTATATTGGAAATTTAACGAAAGCAAAAACCTTTTACTTTACAATCAAGTTAAGTAATTTTCAAGCCGGCGGTGTATCACAAGAATTAACTTTTTCTGGACCGACAATTCCATATTATGTAGGAACAGGTAAAAATATTTCTCTATCAAAAAATGCAATCTGTTTATCAAAAGAAATATTAAGATGCTATGTCAATAAAAAAAAATATAGTTTACATATCGATTTAAACATTAAAAGTAATTCTAATTCAATACCTTGACATATATTATGTGTTTTTATAAAATATGTATTTGTAATGTCAATTTGTTATAAAACTTTTCATATTATGATAATTCTTGATTATTTTATTTTGATATTGTAGATATAAATTTTGTAAAAAAAATGAAAAGATTGTTGTGCATACCTTTTTTTTTATTATATTGGTAATATAATAGACATATTTCCATAGTGATTTCTCATTGTGTTTTTAATTAAGTTTGTATTCCTTAAAGTGTTATTATTCACTAGGTATTATTTTTTCCGTGCCCAGCATTTGTTACGATTGTTGTTTATAAAATAATAACAATTGTAAAATTTAATGACTTTTAAATTAACCTTAAATTTTAATATTGAAAAACATGTATTTTATAGAACTTGGGAATTGTTAATAAAATAAACCTCATTGTAAATTCACTAGAATTTTTACAATTCCTTGCCTAACAATAAATGGACAACTATTGACTAGAATTCTATTTATTTATTAAATTTTAGTCAATAGCTAATGACGACAGTCCATTCTGTGTAGACTTGTTATACAAAAAAGGAAATTGTCTTTTCTTTCAAATAAAAAAAAGTTATTAAAATCTCTTTAAAGAGTTTAAATTTTAAGTTATTCCCATAATGTCAATTTTCGCTATCAAAATGGCTGTTATTCATAGAAAAAATTTTGTTTCTATAAATATGTAATTAAAGCTTGGCAGTCAATAGTTTGATGAATTAACTAAAAAGATTTTATTTTTTAAATAGTCGAATAAATTCAACTCGTATATTTTTCAATATTAATCAATCGTATAATACTACAATAATATAATTTATGTATACAATAGAATATTTTTTTCAGTACATATATTACATATCAAGACTGATGATTTAAACTTATAGATTATTGCAATTTCAGACGGATGTTAAAATATCAAGTGTAGGTCATAAAGTAATAATATAAACAGATAAACTAACATAATATACTAGCTTGTATGCAAGAACGAAGTAAAGAGTAGGACTAAAACCAGTATGACCACATAAAGGAAAAAAAAATCTTTATTGTTGAACAAATAAAACAACTAGGTATTGTTGTTAATTAATACAAGTAAATAGTTAAAACTTATATACAAATTAATAATAATAAATTTACTATATTTTATCGAATTTAAAAACAATATTTTTTCAAAATACTGTTATCGTTGATATCTTATCACCACGATATATTGAACGATAATTATTTTCTTCTATCTTGGCAGACTGACTTTAGTCCTACTTTTTTAAGTTATTCGAATTTGAAGAAGTCTAAAAATGTTGGTAATTACTCTATAACTAGGTATAACATAATACTTCTTGGTTTGAAACAATATTTAATATTTTAAAAAATAACATTTTTTTTAAATCACTTAACTAAGACAGACGATAGCGCGAACATTGTTAGGTTCGTGTCAAATTATCAATAGCTTTAAATGCTGTGTTATTTTGGGTTTACAGACTGAATAAAATGAAATACATCTATTTATGTTTAAATCACCCACACTTTCTTACTTGGTATACACAATGAGAGAGTTCAACACAAAATATTTTAAAACAAAAATTGAAATAACACGCAAACATAATAATAATAATAATAACATTAACGTTTTAACTATATTTACTAACTAACCAACTAAGTACCTGACATCAGGAATACATTTTATCTTTTTCATCGAACAAAACAGTTTATCTAATAATATCATATCGAAAACGAACGTATTTAGCTACGGGTTTTAATTTTGATTATTAATATAATACTATGTTTGCCTATGATCACATAAAATCTTAATAAATAATATACATGTAGGTATTCGTAAGTAGGTATAATATAATAAATTCAATCACGTGTTTTGAAATATTATATTTTCAAGAACGGGGAAGACCAAGAATGGAATACATGCCACATAGTTTAAACACAAAGGCAAGGAGTAAGGAAAATTACTGCGACCGACCAATCGAAAATTGACAAGCTCGACAACAGATTAGACGATAAATTGTAAGAAATTCGTTGTTGCTGGTTTTTTTTTTTTTTAAGTCTAGTGATTTAAGTTCAAGTTCAATAATATACGCGTTCCTTAATAGAAATTTAAAACGCTCATGTTTTATAAAAATATTATATTTTGTATTTTGTACCTGCAGGAAATATATATATATGTATCGTTGCGCTTCGGGTTTAGGTACCGTTTGACACACAGCACAGTTCTTATGGTTTATTAGTTTTAACTTTTTAATGTAGTCAAGTAACTTATACCGATCAGCATTTTATTGGATGTATCCTACAAGAATATGTACACCGAATAACATATGATAGAAGTATGCATGTGTACTATGTTGATGAATCGTAGCCTGCGTGTAATTTGCACTCGGTTCTACAAAATTTCGGATGGGTTTTGTCCAAAGGATGAATATTTCGAGAGAGAAAAATGTTCCCATTAAATTGAACCGCGATAAAAAAAAAATCCCTGAAATAATAAATGCCTTATATTATTTATACAGCATAATCTCATATAATTGGGAAGATTGAAGCGGCCACTTTCCGCCATCTTGGTGGGAATCAGAACCTTATCACGCGAGAATAATATATGTTTATAACAATTACATATATATGTGTAATATTGATGTAATAATATATACAGATATATATTATATGCATTGATAACACACATAAATCCCACCAGAATGGCGGACCGTCTGCTTCAATTCTTATCACTAGTTAGCTCAATCTAGTTTATTATATATATTTATATATATCTGTGATTTTAGATCAGTGCGTTTCATTTTTGTTTGTACATTTCCAGGGTTTTAACAATAAAGGGATTATGCTATAATGTTTAACTAGGCTTTTATAATTTCATGTTTTTTTTTTCCATCGCGGTTTGATTCGATGGGAACAGTTTTTCTCATGAAATTGTCTCGCCAAAGCAATTTTGAAGATAGATTTGGGGATTCGTCGTTAAACAATTATTAATCGGATAGTGTTGGGGTTTCAGCTTTCGGATAAAACCCACGTGAAATTGTGGGTGAACCGGCGTTATTGGCGTCATCTTGTTACTCCGGCTTTACTCGTTATTGTATTGCTTGCGGGTGACGCGCGCGTGGGAACGGCTTGAAGAAAAGTTGCGGCGGCAGGGAGCGGAGGGGTGAACTACAGGCTAGTCTCGAAAGTGACGGCCGGCAAGCCGTTATTGCCTCGACCGGACGCGCGCGCTTGACGATTGCCACCGCCGTAGCGGCGGTCTGCGTCGACTGCATATTGCACGGTGGACGGCGACCTGATGGCGTCTTCGTACGCGGGCGGCAGTGCGTACGGGCCGGACTCGATGTCGTAGTGGTATCTGACGAGCTCGGCGGGCACGCGTTCGGGCGGGCACGCGCGGTAAATGGTCATCGCGAGCGACGTGCCGAACATGTCGAACGGCAGCGGGTAGTCGACGGTGTAAGCGGGCGGCGCCGGGTCGACGACCAACGCGGGCGCGTACGACGACATCAGGCGCCTGGCGCCGAACAGCTTGGTGATGTTGACGTGCACATACGATATGTTGTAGTTGACGTACACCCTGTACGGCCACGACAGCAACAGGGCCGAAAACAGCCAGTACATTTTCTTGTTGACGAACCGCGGCAATTGGCCGGCGTACACGGACTTGTCGAAATGTATCCCGATGAAGTTTATTCCCTCCTTCTTGTCGCAGTACTCGTCCTTGGCGTCGTAACGCGAGTAGAAAGCGTTGCGCTTGTTCTGGTACTCTTCGGCAAGCCAAGGTCTGGCAAAAGCGAAATCTGTGTGTGTTTTGACGAGAAATCATAATATTAATCGCACACGTTAAATAAACACATCCAAAGTGTATCCAAAGTTTATTAGTGTCAATGAAAATAATTGAAACCTGTTAAGAGGACGACGTCGCACCGGTGATTTTCAGTGGTAAAAACATGTTTGAGCAGACTGAAATGTAACTCGCTTAATTTTGGTTTTAGAGTAAAAGCACCCGTTATAAAATTAAAAGAAAACAATATTTCGGAGGGCAAGACGGACAGTCATATAAAAATGTCAAAATAGTCGTTACTTCTAAACTATGTATTGAGCGTTATACTTGAAAAGCGCACCGTCTTGCCCTCCAAAATATTGTTCTCTTTTAATTTTATAATGGGTGTTTTTACTCTAAAACCAAAATTAATCGAGTTATTTTCAGTCTGCTTAAACATGTAGAGATGAAAAAACATGTTTAAACCGCTTTCAAGGATACTGTGATAGTCCAAAAAATAAATTAACTACCAAAATAGAGTCCTAGTTATTGAACTAATAATTACACGTTACAGTTTAATCTTTAAATTAAGATTTTGTAAAAAATTGCCTATACTTTACTCCTTAAAAATGGGCGGTGCGACGCCCTCTTAAGGGGACGTCACACATCCATAAACCCGGCTTGTGCGGATTAATTTTACAAAGGCTATAATCAAAACTAAGAAATCAAATTTGTACAAAATATAGACAACAACACTGTCTGTGTTCTACCATCGCCCTTTTTTTAATATTTCAACCAGTCAATGAATAATTAATTAATTAAGAAAGGACTTTTTTTGAATTTTTTAAAAATGATATAGCGTTGTTCGTATTAGGTATATCGAAATAATACGAATAATGGAACGCAGATAATTTTGTCATAAATAATATGTATGAATTTCTTTCCTTAACTATATATGAAGCCTGGGAAAAATTAATCCGCGCAAAGCAGTTTTGATGGCAAAAAAAAATGTATTTTATCCTATAGAAATTACTGTGATAGTCTGACAAAAAAATGGCAACCAACAAAGTATCCTCAATACTGTATAATATATATACATTATAGTTCAAACTCTAAATTAAGATTTTTCGAAAAATTGCCTATACTTTACTCCTTAGAAATGACCGGTGTGGCGTCCTCTTAAGGGGATTGCATGCGGTTGGTTTTTAAGCAGTTTTGTATAGGCAATATTTAAGAAAAAAGTGGTTTTAATCAATTTCGATCATGCCAATTAATTTACCGGTTAATTTGTATAAGCTTCGTGCTAATATTTTTAATTTAAATTATTTAGAACTACTTAAATTTGATTAGTAATATGTTTGCCATGTATAAAATTTAACTCTAAGGGTTACTCTAACGATGCCTATTTTCATACTTTAAACAAAACTAATCAACGTTTTATCAATTTTTAGCTAATTATTCATAATGTAATTATGTTTATTAATATGTAGTTAGTTTTATTCCTAAATGAAATTATACTTATGTGTAGTTTAAAGCTAACCTAACATTAAAGTGATAAGAATCAGCCCGATTTATTTCTGTATTTGTTCTATAATTTTTAATCAATTATGAAAAATATCTGATGAATATCTCATCCGCTATTAAGAGCATACTGAAAAAAACAATTTGCATTTTAGTGTGCTGTAAAATTCTACACATACACTTTTGTTTCTCAATACTTCAATTACAAAAAAGTATTTCTAGTCTAGTAATTTTGCCATTTTCCTTGAGCAGGCAAAAGTGGGGAATGTGGGTATAAACCATTAAAAAATCCATTCGATTTTGCTCTAATCCGAGTTTTAGGTACACAAGCGTTATTTAATTTAACTTCAAACGTCATTACATTTTAATGATAATTTACCTTTGGTGAATTCAATTTTTACGATAGGACTCCTTTGGCGAAACTCAAGTGAATCAGACAAGTCGTAGCAGCCCATAGACCTGAAGTCGAACGCCCTTCTTTTCTTTTGCTTTTCCACTCTTTTGGGTTGTCTCGATATCAGGATAGGCGAACGCTGCGCATCATAATGATAACTTAGTACTTCCCACCTTTAAAAACATTAAAACAATTATAGGTAAGTAGCCCTGGCGTTTTTTTTTTAATATAAAATCAGGATAATAATTTGAATAATAATTACTTACCATATTTGTGGCTCGACCACCTTGAGTTGGTATATGTAATCGGATACCATAGAGTAAGACATCATTTCCATTTTGAGTATTTCTTGTATGACGTCGCAGGCCCAACATTCCATCAAGTATGGCCAGTACAACAATACCGTCATCACCAAACTCATCACTTGTTCGAGTTCCTGCGTTATGAAAACACACACTCAAACAACTGAAGGGAAACCCCGAAAGGTGTCTAAGTCCACTTTTATCAAAATTTAAATTATGACCATGACAATTGTATGAATATCTCAGGTGAAAAAACATTTTCCTACTTTTCCAAAATTTTGATAGCACCAGTTTTCAAAAATTTTATTTTTTTATTTTTTTGAGGTATAAAAATTTATTTTGAACATGTTCTTTGTATAAAAAGTTATCAGTAGGAAATGAGGAACAAGCTAATATTTTATTTTTATAAAAAACTACTATAATTGGCACTAATTGAGGCCATAATAGTTTATTTTTTTTTATTACATATATAACAGGGTTTTGAATTATCTTAACATATCTTGTTTTTTCTATAATTTCTTAAAAAAAAAAAAAAAATTATCTATTGAAGGAAGTTTGTTTCATGTAAGTATAGCAAATAAATTAGGAATAAGTTTAAAAAAAACTACTAGTCCATTTCTCTTGTTTCTACTTTTGGTTTTTATACAAAGAACATCTATTTAAAATTAATATTGAATTTTTATACCTAAAAATAATTCAAATCTAAACCAACAGATTTTTTTCTGAAAACTGATGCTCGTTGCCAATAAAAATCATTTTAAACATTTAAAAACGAGAGAAATGTTTCTCATTCGAAATAACATGCTATCGCAAGTTTAAAAAATGTATAAACTTATATATTGCCCTGATTTAATAAACAAAAAAAACATATTTTATGTTTTATAACAAGCCATAGGCTTTTTTTTTTTGGTGTGAATCTGAAGATTCATACCGGGACTTTAAATTTGGTTTATGATTGAACACACGCCATTGTACTTACAATTGCCGGGCCGCGGGTTAACACGAGGATAAAGTAGCATATGATCAATGTAAATATTAATAATGTCAATGCCAAACATCTTCCAGTCTCTTTCCATCGAAACGAGTTTCTTAAGGTCCGATCACGTGGGACTTTCTGCAATTCACAATAATAATACAGTTAGCTATTAGTAAACAGTTATTATTTTTTAATCGTTGAAATAAAATAATAAGCATATAGTTTTCAATGCAGTAGATGGATGATTTTTGTAAGCAAAGTTCTCTACCACATTATTTCATAAGTTCATAAAATACTTATTACGATAAACCGTTTAGTATACATTTAGTTAGATTAATATATTATTAATATAGATGTGGTTTTTAGAATAAATATAGTTTGAACTTACTAACATGTTTTGATAACTAGAGTTATAACCATATAAAAACGACAGTTTTAAAAGAAAAAGTTACAGCACCTATTCCAGTAGAGCAAATCCCTACTAAATTTAAAAATATTTTGTAGACTTTCAATTGTAGCTTTTACATTAGTCATTATTTGTTTTATGCATTTTTAAGCATATTAATGTTTAAACACCATCATTTTAGGAATTACAATTTAAAAAGATTTTAAGAACTTTTGTCGCTAATATTTTTCTTACAAAATATGACAGTAAAAAGTAACAACCCAAAAATCATTAACCCTTTTCCTCAGAAGGGATGGACATTTTTTCGATTTTTAAGGGTGTAGTTTCAGGACTGAAAATTAGATTAAAGCTGTTAAGATCTAACGTGTACCTAAAAAATATAAAAAATTTCAAACTATGTTTATAAACATGTGTTGTCTAGAAAATTATTTGTATATTTTATATTTAATAATGTTACCGTCTACAGTTTTCCATCGAAGGGACTATTTGAAAGTTATTTTATTCATTACATTCATTTTAATGATTCCTAAAGACCCGTGACCTCGCCGTTTCTAGTATGCTTGATTTTTATTATTACTATTCAAAGCAAAACAAAAATATGTTCTATTTAAATGAAACAACTTCAGTTAATAAATATTTTAAGATTGAATATGTTAGGAATCAGAAACTTACTTATGAAATACTGAAGAAAATAATATTTTAACAGAAACTAGTCTCACATTAACTATTATTATATAAAATATGACAATTGCAAAAAATGTTAAGTGCCTTTACTGTGCCAACACAGCAAATACATATAATTTTTTTACAAAACAATGAATTATAACAAAACAACTTGTATAAGTCTACATAAATACGATAATTAAATTATAAACAACATTTAAAATAAATGTGATAGCAGAGGGGGTTGAAATTTAGGAGAAGTAAGATATCCAAAGAATAATAATTAAGAGAATAATTCATCAATATTTGGGCTTTCAGGAGTTTTCTCTTCGAGATAATGTTGGACAATAAAATAGAAAGCACAGAAGATTGCAAAAGGTCTCATCATAGCAAAAAAAAAAACAACAATGGAGAGGAATTTAAAGAAAAATAATAGAAGTGGTCACAGAGAAGGTAGGACAAGAGAACAATATGAAATAGACCCGAAATCAAAACCCATAGGTAATTGCACAGCTATGCCATGTCATGATATGTTTGTATATTTCCAACACTTTAGGGAAAAAAAAGAACCGTATGATATATAGTTCAATGGTTATTTTATATGTACAAATTTGTTATTACATAGATACAACAATTAACCAAGTGAAATAGAATTTGTATTTATATGATTAAACCGGCGTATTGGATAGGCAATTTAGGTGCGTCTATGCATGGTTGTATAAAAAAATGGACAAGTTGTATAATTAGTGAGGACTTTTTTTTTACAAGAGTTAGCTATTGTAAAATGATTAAATCGAATATTTTTTATTTTCACTTAGCACACATTATATTTTTCTAACACATAGGGACATCAGTCATATTTGTTCTTATCACTATTTTATAGTTACACCACTTTTAGCATCAATTTTTATAGCTTTTATTTTCCTTTCTATTCAATATTCAACACTTACTACATTGCTATAGTGCACATAATAGATTAGTTCAATTTTCTTTTGGTGTTACACGCTTTGTGATACACACAGCACGCCAGTGTAATTTCGATTAGCTTTTTACACATTAAAACAATAACCTTAGACTTGTATGGTTGCAAACTTAAGTTTGTATAGATAAATATTAGGAATGATGTTACGTGTCTAGATATATTATAATTATGTATTTCACGTTAACGCCATTTCAAATATTATATATATATACAGCAACTATGAATACGCCTATAAATGTATGCGATTATATTTTACTGAGTTGAGTGAATTCCAAAATGAATTAAAAAAAAAAAAAAAACCTTAAGAAAACCACACAAGTGTTACTATATGTTGCTTTTTGGGAATACAGATGAGCGCGAAAATAACAAGGAAATGTTTATTGATTTCTCAACATTAACGGTACGGTGCCTCTCTGTAACTGCGATGAAGGGGTGTGTGGTATTATCTGCATTCTGTTCGTTAAGTTATGAAAAGGTATCCAGTGTGTGCGAGATAAAACGCAAACATTTTAATTGGAATATTTGTTCAATGTTCATTATACAATTATGGCTCGGCAATTACTATTGGACGATCGTGGTGCAGTTTATATGATCTTTATACATTTAATCACAGAAATAATACAATAAGGGTTAAGTTTAAAAATCCAAGTTTTATAATACATCATGCAAACATTTCAACTTGAAGAAAAACTCGTTTTTAACTCGTTCAGTTCAATGAAAACATATTCGAGTCAAGGTTATCAAGTTGGCTGTGTGCGTACTATGAATTACACTTTAGACAAACATAATGATACCATCAACGGTCCGTCATGCCATAGATCAACGAACGCATGCGAGTGCGGGTCGACTATGGTATTTAGGGAAGAACGGGAGTTATCCTACCGATATCTAGCGCGCAGCTTCCCTCGCCGTGTATAACACAATAAAATTATAAAATAATAATAAATATGATGTGGTGAAACGTTACGATGCGGTTTGGCCTCAACCCCACTGTACACTGCTAAACGTGTAAAAATCAATGCGTACTGTAGGGGTAAGGTAAGGTCTCGATTGTAGTAGTAAATTCGTGTGTAATTCACAATGTTTTCAACTCACGTTTTTGATTTCGTACGATTCCGGTATGAACGGCATGTTGTTGTTGTTGTTGTGCACTACTCGAAACGAAGAACGGCGGCTACGGCGACAATGACCTGCTGCTGGAACACCGTCGGTGGCGGCGGTGGCTTGCGCGCCCGGGGAAGTTGCTGTAACGCTGTTTTGTCCGCCGAATCACAATATATTATATTAATATATGTGTTGTGTGTACACGGCCGGTGCGCAGGTGTTGTGCAGCGCTAGGACCGGGGACAACGACGACAGGGGAATCCAAGGGCGGCGGACAGGGCGCAAAGCTGCGGCGCGACGTGGGAAGCGCGCGCGCCTGGACTTTCTGGAAACCACGCCCCGGGATATCGTGACCGGGTCTCGGGGACGTGCGCTCGGTCCGGGAGCAGACTGCAGTCGCATAGTGGTCTAGAATCCGAAAAAGCCCATCGAAACTGGATTTTACACAATTGTCGTATAGAGACCCGATTTGCTTAGTAGTTGTTAACTAAGTACTATATAGTGTATAAAAATACCCAGTTTTAATTTATAACATTTTTTTTTTTTTGCTACTCTAACTGCTGGGTTAAAGTTGAAAGGCCAACTACTGTTATTTTTACCTTTAAAAATACTCTATGTTCAATCAAATTTTTAATGTATAAAAAAAAAACATTTAAGAAAAGTCATGTACGTTTCGTTATAGCATATTATCCAATGTTTAATTATAATATATTGTTACCCCTCTTCCCTGCTTTTTTTCTGGTAAAAAAACATTTTAAAACAATCATTATTAATTATGGTTTTTTTATGAAATTCAACTCTACAAAAAAAAAAGTCTTAAATAGTATTCGCCAAACCGACATAAAAATATACTATAAGGTATACTAAAACAAGAAAAAAAAAATTCAGCTGCAATTACCTGCAATTAAAGTGATGGTGTTAGTTTATAACTAAATAATTGTTATAATTGAGGCGCACGCGTTGGGTACAATAGATGCTTATATAAACCAACAAATAAAAATATGAATTTAAAGTTGATTTATTACTAATTGTTACCTAAATAATTGATTATAAAACTAATACAATATTTGTTTTCAGTGATGCCAAAAGCATATGAATATATATGCAACATGAAGTTTTTTTAAAACATAAAATCCTCTCACCTAAGTCACATTAACTTCTAAAATACGGTATTTATTTAAAATCGTATTTTATAATTGAATTTGGTGACTCCACAAACATATAATTTGATATGCAACTTGACATATTTTTAAAATTTAAAAAAAAATACCCCCTTGTCCCCTAATTAGGGGGAAGATTCAAAAAATAATTTCAAATCTAAATTCGTTGACCTCAAAAACATACAATTTGATGATATGCACAACTTAACATATTTTTAAAATTTAAAAAAAAATCTTCCCTTACCCCCCTCAGTAGGGGGATGATTCAAAATATTATTTCAAATCTAAATTCATTGACACCAAAAACATATAATTTGTCATGTTGTTTTGTTTTTTAATCAAAATTTTAGGATACTTTAGTTTCGATAGTCTTTATTGGATTCTAGACCACTGTGAGTCGTTGTCGCTTGTACCCTGTCGGCTGATAAAATATAGTACCGCTATAACGGCTGTGTAGTTTATTATATAGTCCAGTCAAAGTTTAGAAAAACTTTTAAAACAAATTACCGAAAGCTTAATAATTTTGGTACACATTTTTAGTTTGTATCATAGGTAAATACTCTGAATTAACATACATAAATACTTTGACCTTGCCCGGATTTAGAAAAAAAAACCATACTTACATCAATTAAAAATCGTGTATATATTGTATAATATAATACGTTTTTCCTACTACATACTAAAATGTTTCTTTTTCGACTTTACTCTGAAAATAATTACAACATTTTATATTTTTTCATTTTAAAGACATTTTTGTTTATGTTTTTCTAACATGCGATGACTTATTATTCAATTATTAAATATTTGTAATTTACATATGAATGTATTACATGCGGTAACTCATTTAAGCATTATTTATTTCAACTTGCGTAGCACAGAAATAGTTTCTGGTTTAAATTAGTACCGATGTGTTGTAAAACCAAGCATGCAACAGTACAATGCGGCAGATGAATTTGAAAAGAAGTAAAAATATTTTTGACTATACAATTATACATAAACGAGACCTTATAGCAACTTTAAAAATTAAGTAAGTAATCAAAGTATAAATATTTTATTATAAAAATGCACGTTTCTTTGTCGTTTTTAAAAACCAACATTATTAAGTATTATTACTTATGTGTGACGTACCTACCTAAGTAAGACAGAGGGGCAAGCCTAATTAAAACACATGTTTTATTATCAAATTAGAGTGTTCACAGTTTTTCGTTAAAACCGTGTATACTTATTTTTTATAAGAAAACACTGATTATTGTATAGGTAGGTATATAAGTATAAATTATAAACTTTGGTGTAGGTGTAGCATAAACTGCATTTATAAGTAGCTGCTATTAAAAGTCTGGTGACATGTTTTTATATTTATTGTAAATAAATACTACAAATAAGAACATGGAAAACTCGGTGTAATTTAATATTTCAATTATTAATCATTACTAATATGATCCTTACATAATTTATAATTTTTAAGGGGTTTTGAGTAGGTAAACCTACTGACATTTATCGCAAAATTCCCTCGAAAAACAGTTTTCCCGTACCTATTCACATTTTCAGTAGGTATTTGCTGTAAATTAAAGTGGTTTTATAATTTTGAAGTTAAATTTTCTATTACATTAATTGACCATACGAAACCTCTTCCTAAATACCGGTGTCCGGTGACCTGACATATAATATTGGATTGCAATATTAACAAAACTGATAATTTTGTAAGTAGCAAATTATAACTTACCTAGTACTTAGGTATGTTTACGAAGTATAACTTAGTCATTTAACTAGAATTGAAACATTATTTTTAAAAAAATAGTAATTTTGGGCGTGCCATTCTTATACTTCATTCGGTGTCCATATATTTTTTTTATTCATGTGGTCACACTGGTAATTATCAAATTGACCTGTTGTTGTTTATATGTTGCCCCTCTGTTATCCAATCCGCCTATTTTATAATAATATTATGAATCATGGATATCTTGTTAGTTTTTGAACTTCGAGAATTCCTTTAATTTAATACTTAGATTTTTATTCTTTTGATATTTGTTTTTACTAGAAGATTTCAAATAATCGTACACAGAATGAGTAAAATAAGCGTATTATTTTCAACAATTTTTTTGTCAGCAATGATATTACAAGGTAAGAAATGAGAAAATATTTAGGGAGTGGTGATTTGATATTTTCATTTAAATTGAATCATTTATTAAATTTAAGTAATAGTTTTAAAGTGATACATTAAGTTAACTAACTTTCATTGTTTTTGCATATTCTTTAGCTCAGTCTTATCTACTGTGTTATGATTGCGTGTCGACACACCCAGGTTGTGGTACTCCGTTTAAATGGCTATGGTACAGAACTGTTTCGTGTCCAGAAGAAGACGATATTTGTGTTAAAATTATTGAAAGAAATGGAGGTAATTGTTCTCAGTATTTTTAGTGGTGGTTAATGAATAAAATGTGTCGGTTATTTCCCACTTTATTAACACGTTCACCTCCGCGCGTAAACGTCAGGATGGGTGCCAGACGTTGAGTGATTTGCGATAAAATTTTGCTCGGCCCGTCTCACAATCTTGTGATGAAAACTAAAACCAACTGCATCAAAATTTGTTATTGAGACATACTGAATGGTTGTTGTAAAAAAATATGCATTACGCAATGGCTGAATAATTTATAAACGTATCTAGATATGTACCTAGTGACGATTGCGAATCGGCGGCGGCCACCAGTGCCTGACTACTGACGCCGATCAGAGATTGGTAGCAAAGGTGAATGTGTTAATTGGTTTACTAGAAAAGTTAAAAAAAAAAAAAATAATTTGACAAACATTTATTAGTTAGTGAAACTCGTATTATTAAATCTTTGAATATCAGTTATTTCATTTTTCCTTTTATATATATACAACCATAAGTTTCTTAAAGTTTTTTCTAGAGTATAATATATGAAAACTAAATAAGTTTTTAAAAAAATGTTTAATATACAATTGTGTTGTGTTTAGCCGACGAAGTTATCACACGAGGGTGTTTGAGTTCAATGAAAGGTTTTAGGACAGATATTCCTGCTGATAAATACGAAGGATGCAGAAAGGGTGCTATGGACATAAAACTCGGTCATTATGTAAATAATTCTATTCCTGAATTGGACATTAAACGGTAAGTGAACAACATTATATTTTATACATATGATTTTGTTCTTATTTTAATCGCAATGTTGTTTACAGTGACCATTTTTCTTCGACTACATGGTGCTTTTGTTATTTCGATCACTGGTGCAATTCGGCCAACCTCTCGGCATCGTCTCATCTTTTAATTGTTCTTATAAGTATATTCTTTTTTATCAGACACATTGAACAATGATAAAATATTTTATTAATGACCTAAAATTATCACCAAAGTATGTGCATCCTTAATTCTTAGTATATGTAATGACCTTAATTTTTTTGATCTGATTAATATAATGTATATTAAGTGATATCTGGTTCCCTTATTATAATTCAAAAAACTACATATTATCTGAGTTCTAAATACTAATTATCATATTTATAATAATAATGTTTCATTGGAAAAATGTACTTACTTTTTTTCGTATATGAAAATATATTCTCAAGTTTTTTAGTTATTATACCTATTAAGTATTAAATTGCTTGTTATTCATCAAATTATATGTCAATTGAATTATTTAATGTAAGGCTGTTCACAATGAAAGCACCAATTTTTTATCTATACCATTTGTCTTACCAATTATGATATAGTTATTTATGAATTGTTATTGTAAGGTTATGCTACGTAAGACTGTATTTTATTTAGATCTAACATCAATAACTTGAATCCGTCCAATTTTTGCATTATATTATTTTTTACAATATTTTTATGTATAACGTTTTAACAGTTACGTTAAATAAAATTGTATGAAATAAGAATATATTATTTATATATTTACAAATTTTGTGTTATCATTTTGTTACAGTTTGTAGTATCTCTTAACAAAAATAGTAAGGTTAAAACAAAATATTTTGGGTTTTTTTTTTATTAAGAAGTTAACCAATAGATAGACATTTCCTTAATAATAGTAACTATTACTACTATATAATAACCTTGTTACCGCTATTTCATTTAAAGTTTATAATGTATATTATGTAATTTAGTAGTACTCATTTGCCTTTTTTTAAAAAAAAGAAAGCAATGTATTAGTTATACACTACAATTATAAACTAATTAGTTAATAGTTTCATTATGGTTCATGAGATACTTTCAAATATTAATAGGAAGCACATAGTATGAAACTTCAAACCAAAAATGTACTTTTCTTTTTTTATAGTAGGTATATTCTAATAATTAATGATCAACCTGATAATATTCAATTTAAACAAGTAGAATTGACAAGGTAAACAGTGAAATTTATTTTATCTTTTTTGTTTTGTGTAAGCTGTAAGGAAAAACTAAATAATAAAGTTATAAGTGTTAAATTGAAATTTTTACTATCTATTATAACAATTTAAAAACCAGTGTACATTTGTTTCGTTTCTGAGTGGATTGGAAACCATTATTAGTATTAATTATTATTTGTATAGGTTATTATAGTTAGAATGTTCAGCTCAATGTTAAAATGCATAATTGGTATATCGCACAGAATATTAAATTTGTATGAATTGTCAAACGTTTCTTGTGTAATAATACAAAAACGATTTAATGCAAAACCTTCTACTTAAAACTTAAAAATATTGTATAAACACTTAAATTATATTACAAAATCATACAAATTATTACAATGTAAAGGGAACAAACTGTACAAATATGTTTGTCACTTATACCTTTTAAGGTATCTATAACTTTGAAAACATCATTGGTTACTATTATTGTGATATATTGTTATAATTTAAATTCAAAATTTTGTTGCATAAAACTGTTTATTACAGTTATATATACTCGCACAACATTAATTTATCCTAAGGAGATTTTACATCGTAGCTGAGGCATTTATATAGTGGATGTTATTACAGCAACATTTGTTAAAAAAAATACTGCCACTGATTTTATTTTTTAAATCTCTAGGCGTGGTAAAACGTCTTGTTAGTTGATACAATAATGGATTATGAGTTAATACTTTCCAAAAATATTTTAAGCGTGTAATACTCATACCAGGTTTTAAGAATATAAAAAAAAAGCCCATTTCAATTGATGCGAGTCCACCCTTATCACAACCCTTATCAGGACTAGGAGCCATAGTCCTGATAAGGGTTGTGATAAGGGTGGACTACAACACAGTATCACAACGCTACAACAATGATCGTATCGTTTTATTTAGTTTAGTTAAATTTTTAATTATCATTATACTTAACGCAGCTTACAATGTAATTTAATGAACGAAAAACGTTTTTTACAGGTAATTTAGTTTTATTTTTAATGCGTATCTAACTAATTACTGAATTCGTAAATAAAATAAAGGAGGTAACCTACTCGGCTACCATAACCGCAGCAGTGATACCGTTTTACCGGAAAAAGCCTTCGAGGCCGCATTCAAATGTTTTTCGATAATAAAATATTATAATAATATATGTACCCTCGTAGGTTCAAATTGCGTTTAATCAAAATAATGTTTAATTCATATTATTATATAGAGTGATCGAATAACTGACAAGACGACTGTGACAATTTTATTACGAGTAGCTCTTTTATGCGTAAGTACTACCTATATACATTTTAAAAATGTGCGTTAGTAATAAACCGTTATTATAATTTTTGATGAGAAATTTTATACTATTGTGTGTATTATAATAATCGTCAATAAAAGAACAATAAAATATGAATCATTGGAGATTTATTCAGTTGCTTGCCGCATAAGATTTTATGATTAACGACGCCGGTGTGGCACATAATATATTATTCCGAATTCGTCGCGGTTGTTCAAACATCAAAGCCAAAAAAACCTGCGTTTGCCATTTAATTCAACGTTTTCGGTTGTTATTTTTTTTTTGCGCAGTAAAATAGTTTTACTCAAATATCGGTTGGTCGCTGTTGAGGATTGAAAAAACAAGGCGACCGTTTGAGTTTTGATGCTATTTATTAATTGCAAGCAGAACGATATCGCGAAACGGCGGTGATCACTTTACAATAATTGTAATGTTATTTTGAAAAAATGACTTCCCTACAGGCTCATAGGTGCAATTTGGGGGGGGGGGCGGCTTAGGGTGTATTAGCACCCTCAATTTTAAAATTAGCACCTTCTAAAATTTTTCGTGTTATGTATTAAAACCTCTGCTTTTAAAAGGTGTGTAATAAAGAAAAACTTTTTTCCCAGAGTTGATAACAGTATTTATCATTTTTTATATCCTGTTTTATCTTCTACGGAACCCGATTACACCACAAAAAAACCAGAAGTGAAATTTAAAAAAAAAAATACACAGGTAAGCCGACGAAAAAGGTAGACTGCCATATTTTATATATTTTTTTTGCAAAAGGGAGCCAAACTAACTGAATATAGATAATTGAGTTCTCCTATGTTTCACATGTTTAGGCCACACCGACTTGGCTAAGGGTATCGACGGGGCAGGAAAGATTAACAGACTTGGCCACAGACTTGACTTCAATAAAATAAGAAATACCTGCAAAACATTTCTTTTTATCTTACAGTTCTTTATTTGTATTATTTATATCTACTTCAAAATTAAAAAATTTAATTAAAACTTGGGTGTTAAATATTAAATTAATATGAAACATCCTTGTTAAAAAAAAACCATTAACTTCAAATAAAAATAAAAATTGAAATACCTAAAAAATGCAGAGCTTAAGCACCCCCAGTTTTTTTTATTGAAATTGCGCCTATGCCTACAGCGGTTTTGATTTTGCTAGCGCGTTGCGTTTGTGTGGAAATGTGTTTTCCAACTTAATCTCGTTTTGACAATATCAACCAAAGTGCGCGGTTAAAGCGGACATATCTAATTAACGTAGCGAACAATCGCGGTTATTCGATTTAGCGTAGCAGCGATCATATTATTTGTGCCCTCTCCGGGAACGTTAATTCGGCCACGTTTGTTTGCACAACTGCGTGGCCTTTACCCGCCGCGCCGCCGCCTCGTTGCGAACACAACCGGTACACGGCTGCGCGAGCCTTGCAAGTGTTTTTGTAAACCTACCTATATGCGCACGGCACGTCACGACGGCGGCGGTAGCGGTGGTAAAAGTGCCTAATAATAATAATGATGATGATAATAATGAAAACAATAATAATATTGTAAGTGTTGTTGTGTCGAGCTAAAGAAATCGGTTTAGCGACGTGGACGATGCGCGTTTGTGTAAAGATCGCCCGCAATGGAAACGGCGGCCACTTGTAAGTACTACGTGACTAAGTTTTTGGGCCTGGGCGGTTCGCAAAAACCCGACTGCGTGTACGACGTCCGGTCCGGAAACGTGCGAAACAATCGCGGGGACGGCAGCGGCGGCGGCCATAAGTCGTTTTTCCGGGTGTTCTACCGGGCCCGCGGCGACGGGGGAGGCCGGAAGAGGTACCGGGAACGTCCCGCGTGTCGGCCTCGCGAATCGTACACGCCGTCGGCGGACGGCGACCGGCAGCCGGTCGGGGCGTCCCCGGCCGACGCCGACCGTGTCCACCGGCACCGGCATCGGGCGCTCGAAGAGGACACGGTCGAGGACATCGAGCAAAAGTTCTTGGGGTTCCGGAACGTGTTCGAAAAGTGCAAAGTAAAGAAGGGCGGAAACAAGAAGAAATCACGGCTGTACAACGTCAGTTCGGGACTGCGGTTCACGTTGGTGGCCAACTCCATGTTCATGGACGGTGGCGAGAACCGCGGGGCCAGTTCCCAACAGCCGGCCGTCGGCGAGGAGACCATCGCCGAAGAGGAACAGCGACCCGTCAGCAGCAAAGCCGAAGAACCGGCCAACGAAAACGACGCTGACGACGACGCTGACAACGACGCTGACGACGACGCTGACGACGACGCCGTGTCCAAGTGTTGTCCCAAAGACGTGGCGGACAAGGTAAACTCGTGGATCGACAAGCACGAATACAGCGCTGGTGTAGAGTGCGGCCGCTCTGAAGACGAGGAGGTAAGTGCCTTAAAAATGCATTTAAGGAGAAGGGAAAATTGCCTAGAATGCAATGATCCATATCAATATTGTACCTTTTCATTTATTTTTCTTCAGTATTCAAAACGTATTCTACTCGAGTCAAGTATAAAAATTCAACTCCTTACTCGTTATTTACAAATTAACTAAGGTTTCTTTATTGTATTTCCCAATTAAAAACAGCATAAACATCAAAAGATGTAGTCTTTTTTGGTACAAATTTGAAATTATTTTCATAGTAAATTCTAGGTGTCTTCTTGATCATTGTTCTTACACACACATACACACATACACGTTTACACAAAAAAAAAAATAATAGTGTAGTCAGAGTATTGTGAGGTCAAGACTGTCTCAGGATTACAGGTCTAAATATGTTTTATAATTATAAATACATATCAATTAATTCATTTTGACGGAAAAACCGGCTAAATATATTTTGCCTAATTGTGATTGTCGTTTAGGGAGGCTATTTTATGAACAATAGGGGAAAAGTATGTTGAACCTATTTTAATTACACTTAATTTTGTAGCTTTTACCAATCGCTACCTGCTTTTTAAGTGGTAAGTTTGTTGGCTAAGGCTAATGTAGGGTTGTCAGTCCTACGGTCATCCTCCATATTTTAGAAGACTGAGCTGACAACCTGGTTCCTTGTCTAAAGGAATATTCTAGTGTCAAAAATAAGTATTCAAAATGTATATAATTTTAGGAGGTTTTTTTTTTATTTTGATAAAAAAACAGGGGCCGTTTGTCCCTATATATTACCAGGGCCGATGTCACTTTTTAGAAAAATCAGCTAAGTACATATTGAAATTAAAACTTTAGGTCTAGGCTCTTTTAGACACATAATCCACCTGTAAAGAAGTCGGTCCAGCGATTAAAAAGTTAGTTGATACGGACAAAAAAAAAAAAAGATATTCCTTAACCTTCCAACCAAACAAACGCTTTCCACTTTTCGAGGTGAATGGATTAAAAAATAGGCAATAAAAGTGTTTATATAAACTCAACTCGAATATTTGGACTGTAGTCTGTACTTGATTTTAATACTAAAAACTCATGTCAGAATATGTTTTAACAAAAACTCTACTATTAGTTATAATAAGAATAAAAAAAAAAGGTTTGAACCTTACAAAAACATCTAGATAAAAATATTTAAAAAATAATAGCAACATTTTTTTGGAACAAGTTTTTATCACCAATCTTATCTCCTCAATGCAAATTCCAAGCACAACATTTTCATTATTACAGTATTTTTTTAATAAATCGTTTACTACATTAATATTTTGTGATTAAAAGTTTTCCATTCAAATTTAAAGTATTTGATTCAATTCGGCGTCGGTTAGATTGACATTTTAAACATTTATTGAAATAAAAAAGAAATTTTACTTTAAGAAAAAAATCGTTAAAATAAAAAAAAAAATGGTTTTTTTTAGCATGTTATCATAATATTGTCTTTGTTTACTTTACGTTAAAGTTCAACGAGGCTTATTTTAAAGATTAAGTTATAATAGTTTTAGTTAGGTTGTGTAATATTATCTGTCTTCATGCTGAGACCATAAACGCAAAAAGTTTTCATGCCAGTTTACTACATATTATGCGACAGAAGTTTTGTGAGCCAGCCAACAGACGTTATTGAAATATTGCAAAGCGGTTTTTGTTATGACTCACACATCCAATATTAGTCTTTCGTCGAACGGGCATAATGGGCACATCTAATATGACTATTGGATAATGTTTTATTATTGAAAAAAAAAAATACGATTTCCAGCTTTTAAATCGATTACTATTTTAACGACCAAAAAAGTTAAATAAAAAAAAATACTACATATTGAATATTATCTGTAAAGTTCTATAAACATTGAAATATCTTCTCACAACAGCTATCGAAGAACAAACCCTTGTGGTTGGATTAGATGGAATAATAGTTATATAACAGTTCAAAAGGAATTTTTTTTTTTTATATTTTACTTGATAGAGTAGTTTTCGTATTAAAAATGAATTAAATTAATTATTACTTCATATTATTATCGCAGAATAATAGTTTCACTTTAAAATTAAATGAAAACATTAATCTAATATGAATATTATGAGCAATGTTTCTTGGTAAATGTTTAAGAAAACCTATGTACCAATGCGTACAATGACTTGTGTGTAAATATGTACATATGTGAGCGTGATAGATATTAAAAAAACAGCGTTTATTGATTTTTACAGAAAGGTCAATTAAAACATTCAAACATACTGTTATAAATTAATATTGGTATCACAATCATCAACTAGTGATGTGAGGTGACATACCGCTACTCATTCAATTTTAGCTGTACCTTAAGAGGGCGTCGCAACGCCTATTTTTAAGGAGTAAAGTATAGGCAATTTTTCACAAAATCTTAATTTAAAGGTTACACTGCGTTGTGATTGAACTATTAGTTCAATAACTAGGACTCTATTTTGGTAGTTAATTTATTTTTCGGACTATCACAGAATCCTTGAAAGCGATTTAAAAATGTTTTTTCATCTCTGTATGTTTAAGCAGACTGAAAATAACTCGCTTAATTTTGGTTTTAGAGTAAAAGCACCCATTATAAAATTAAAAGAGAACAATATTTTGGAGGGCAAGACGGTGCGCTTTTCAAGTATAACGCTCAATACATAGTTTAGAAATAACGACTATTTTAACATTTTTAAATTACTGTAACTTTTCAAAAAATGTTTTTTTTTTTTTTAAACGCACCGTCTTGCCCTCTGAAATATTGTTTTCTTTTAATTTTATAATGGACAGTGTTCAGCCGTTTTTTTTTCTGCCAAGTTTTTCATAAAGGGGATGGCATGCAAATTATTTGAATAGTATTGCTCAATCTTGCTCTAAGGGGTTGTAAAAAAATAATTCTACCTAACCAGATGTTTCAAAACGATGAACAATTTTTTTCAACCAATCAAGGGATTTGTTGGAATATTTTTCCGAAAAAAAACTCGATAATTCGATTTTAAGAAAAAACGAAATTTCTGGACTTATAGTTCCGAAGATATTTTAACTCTTGCTTAGACGGCTGCCATTCCCCCCCCCCCATCTTCCCCCAATTTTAAAAGTACAAAATTGCATTTTATATTTTTATCTTTTATAAAATTGTAAATTCCAAATTAAATACTTTGAAAAATAATTTAAATTTTTACTTATACATTTTGTGTTTATTTTGACTATTTTAAACTGGGAGTAAAAACGTTTTTGAAAACGGTTTGAAAAAACGTTTCTTTACACGTTTTTACTCCCTGTTTTTAAATGCAATTTTGCATTTGAAATGCATTTTGGTAACTATTTTGCCCATTTCTGATAATATATTAATTAATAAAAATTAATAATCACAATAGTTATTATTGTGTTATCAGTTATGTGTACATCTTAAATAGTTTACAGTACATTTTTGTTAACTATTAAACGCTCAAACGCATACCTATTCTGATATTAAACATTTTTTAATTATCATAGCTATTTAGCTAGAAAAAATAAAATAATTATAAAATGATTGTAAATTCGTATGTTTAATATCAGAATAGGCATGCGTTTGAGCATTTAATAGTTAACAAAAGTCAAAAGTCACTGTACAAAACACTTAATGATTAAAATATAATTATTAAATTATTATTTATTATATTTATTTACTTCAAGTTCTAAATTACTTCAGAGAAGTTACATTGTAACAATTATACAATAAAAACCTATAATATATCACTTTTTCACAATTTTTTTCTCGGCTCTGGGGGGGGGGTTGAACCGACCCCCCCCCCGTAAGTACGCCATTTTCCGGATGATTATTTAGATAACGTTTCGTTTGAATAATGCATATAAAAACGTTAAATTGATCATTCTGTGACGTGCAATCATAATATTTCAAGCGTTAGCTTATATGACAACAAATATAACGGGTGATAGTTTTAAGTTTCAGCTGGGAGATCTAGAAGACTTTTTTACATGCGTTTTGTATTCATAATAAATTGCCGCCGTGATAGCGTGTAAAGCATTTGGTAAATCGGCGTGTTGGCGTGTAATAAAAGCAGCAGTAAAAGGTGACGTAGGCTGCATGAGTCAGTTAGTGACGATAGCAGTGACTATATTATAATAATATGTTGTGCCATTTAATAAGGGACGGAGTCAGCCAGCGAGAAGACGACCATAAGATAACCGTAAGATAGGATAAGGATAGAAAGAGCGGTGAGAGAGAGAGAACGCTATTGCCATGGGCGAACGTTATCGACCGGTATCTGCCATACTATATAGACCATACCCGTTTCCACCCTTTGGAATGACTATAATATGGCGGGGCGCTTGCGTTCTCCGCGGTGGTCGACACATTCGGTTTCCGGTAGTACATCTACACATAATATTGTACATAATACACTAGTATTTCAGTGCCTGTAAGACTTTGAGACGCGACACTTGGCGGCTCTAAGTGGATCGATAGGTGCAGTGTGTGTGTGTTGATAGACCCTATTTTATATAGTAGCAACTCGCTATAATTAATAATAGGATCCAGAGAAAACTAGAAGACAGACAAGGTAGCAGAGTTGGGCATTATTTAGTTAATTATTTATTTAAATAATTTTTCGAATAAAAGTTGATTATTCGTATAACCACGAATAATGATTAAATTAACTATTGTACGTGATTAATTTCAATTACTCATGACTAATTTAACTAATACCCATGATTAAATATTTCAATCATGACTAATTTAACTGTTATTCGCGTTAAATATTTCAACCATGATTCAAATTTTTAATATTTTTAATCATTGTTATTCGTAATTGATAATATGTTTTTTGCGTAATACATGATACTATTGAATTGAAAAAAAAATGTACTTATTAAATCTCTAAATTTTTTAATCATGACTCATTTAACTATTGGTCATGATTAATTTTTTTAATCATGATTGATTCAACTTAAACCCATGATTAACTTTTGCAATCATGACTAATTATTTAACTAT